ACCCTAACCCTAACCCTAACCCTAACCCTAACCCGCTCCAAAAGGCGCCCAAACCCCTCTGACAGCGCACTACACAGCCACCTCCACATCACTACAGCGCACTTGCCAGCCTGCGCACATTGACAGCAGCCCAGCGCTCTTCCAGCGCTCTTGAGTCTCCCCCCAGTGCCCCTTGGTGCACTTCATTCAGTGCCTCTCACCGCACTTGACACTTTGGAAGCTCATATCTCTGCGAGTTTGCAACCCCAGCCCAAACCCTTCACACATGCTAAATGACTCCTTTGACCCTCTCCAAAACCCTGCTAGGGTCACATAAACTCCCAAATTTCAGAGGCGCCACCAGCCAAATTCACCCCGCACTTGCGCTTTGCGCCTCCTCACGCAAAAACCGCTATCGCAAATCCAAAACTTTTCTGCCACAAGACACTCCTCAATGTGCTCTACAAACTGGCTATCAAACATCTCCGACCCTAATTCCAGACACCCTTGTAACCCTAACCCTAACCCTAACCACCACCTCTGCCAGCACTATCTATTCCAAAGGGTCCCCCCTTTGCCCCCTGTATGCTCATCAGAAGTTGTGCCAAGTTCAGGCAACATGAGCCCATGTTGGTTCATCTTCCCTCAACCTGATTCATCTTCCTCCTTTTGGAGCTGAACTTCCCTGAAGATGCACCACCAGACACATTTTGGGTATCTGGTCTCAGACCAAAGGGTCCCCCCTTTGCTCCTCAGTGGCAATCAGAAGTTGTGCCAAGTTCAGGCAACATGAGCCAACATCAGGTCATCTTCCCTCAACTTGATTCATCTTCCCCCTTCTGCAGGTGAACTTCCTTGAAGATGCACTCCTAACCACACTTTTTGACATCTGTCCTCAATCCAAAGGGTCCCCCCTTTGCTCCTCAGTGACCATCAGAAGTTGTGCCAAGTTCTGGCAACAAGAGCCAACATCAGGTCATCTTCCCTCAACTTGTGTAAGTACGCTGAAGATGACTGAACTTAAGGTATCAAGCTGAACTTAGACGCACTTTGTGCCCTCCCTGAAAGACTTTTGTGCAATCCAATTTCAGAAGGTCTCATGCCACAGCCTCATGCAGGTCTCTGTAACAAAGAACAAACAGTTTTCTCAGAGATGCCCAAGTTAGGCACTCTAACCAGACCATCTTGAGGTTCGATGGACCTCACGCCGTCAAACCTGTAGGGTTTTGGGCGCTGCTTCACCAGCTGGCTTCCCTCAGCCCTCTCTTAATGCCTATAACACCAACTCCAAAAACCCTATTGGGCCACCCCTTGCAACCCTAACCCTAACCCTAACCCATGTAGGTCACTGTAACAAAGAACAAACACTTTTCTCAAAGACGCCCAAGTTAGGCACTCTAACCAGCCCATCTTGAGGTTAGATGGACCTCACGCCGTCAAATCTCTAGGGTTTTGGGCGCTGCTTCACCAGCTGGCTTCCCTCAGCCCTCTCTAGATGCCTATAACACAAACTCCAAAAACCCTATTGGGGACCCCCTTGTAACCCCAAAGCAAATCCAAAACTTTTTTGTCACAAGACACTCCTCAATGTGCTCTACAAAGTGGCTATGAAACATCTCCGACCCTAATTCCAGACACCCTTGTAACCCTAACCCTAAACCCTAAACAAGAGCGCTCAGTGAAGAATCAATGCGCCCAAAGACTTCACCTCCACATTCTTACAGCGCACCCTCCTGCTTGTGCGCACCAGCTACAGCTCAGTGCTCCTCAGCGCCTGCTCCACATCACCTTGGCGCACCCCAGCGCTGCCTGCAAGAGCGCCCAACACAGCCACTTCCACATCCCTACAGCGCTCTTATCAGCCTGCGCACATTGACTGCAGCCCAGCGCTGTTTCAGCGCTCTTGAGTCTCCCCCCAGTGCCCCTTGGTGCACTTCATTCAGTGCCTCTCACCGCACTTGACACTTTGGAAGCTCATATCTCTGTGAGTTTGCAACCCCTGCCCAAACCCTTCACACATGCTAAATGACTCCTTTGACCCTCTCCAAAACTGTGCTAGGGTCACATAAACTCCCAGATTTCAGAGGCGCCACCAGCCAAAATCACCCTGCACTTGCGCTTTGCGTCTCCTCATGCAAAAACGGCTATCGCAAATCCAAAACTTTTCTGCCACAAGACACTCCTCAATGTGCTCTACAAACTGGCTATGAAACATCTTTGACCCTAAAACGGGACACCCTTGTAACCCTAACCCTACCCCCTTCCATGACATGCACTAGCACTCACCTGCACTCTCACTTTGCCCGCTGACCGCTTCCAAGCAAGCACTCTCTTGCTTCTTGCTTGGTGTACCCCTCACAGCAGTCTCAATTAAACCTAAGCATACAAGACCCCAGATTTAGACCACTAGAGTCCTCCCCTTTGCCCCTTCATTGCCTACCAGATGTCCTCCCAAGTTCAGACTCAACGAGCCAACAAACGAGCTTTTGCGACGGACCGTCGGCGTGCCGCACGTGACTTGCCCGCGCGCGCACTCATCCACGTTCTGATCGCGGGTACGCCTGATACGCACGCACTCCTCCTTCATCCCTCTCTCGCGTGACGCTCGGCCCCCCGCCACTCGATTGGCTATACGGGTATAGACTTGGTCTCACAAAGCAGTCCACATTGATGTCTACGCACAGATTTGAGAGGCGTGCGCGGCAGCTTTGCTTTCATTAGATGCACATTTCCCTCTCGCACCACCTCATTTTGCCGTGATGGCGTCTTCGGCGACGATGCCTTCTTTCGGCCAGAGCCACCCAAAAATGTCCTCTCGGTCGCCACATTGGAAGGACGTCACTGCAGAGATGAGGGAGAGCTTTTGAGTTGCGAGAATACACGCCGCGGGAATGCGCGCACACGGGCGCGGGAATGCGCACGCACGCCACCGCGCTACTCACACTCAGTCCACATTTGCCTGCTGAGGGGACCGGCAGTCTGTCCATCTCCAAGCTCAATCTTCTTGACCTCGTTACCCGGCGCTTCTTCCCAGATTGGCAGAGCTTGCTCCGCAGCATCGGCTGCCTCGTCTTGCGCAAGCTCCTTGCGTACCGGTTTCTTGGTGTTGTACGAGACGCTGCGTACAGGTGTGACGCCAGCAGCTGTCCCAGCAGCGAAGAATTCCGCAAAGCTGCCCTGTGCGAGTTCCGAGAATTTCACAGGTCGCCGCTCTACAGCCCATCCCAGGTGCTTGCTGGCAATGTCGACGACGGACAGCTTTGTGACGGATCTCAAGATGCTTGGCGACTCCGGAACAATCAAGCGAGTGGCGCCAGCGGAGGTCGAGATGCCAATCGCGTTCGAGGTGCTAAACTCGTCAATGTACGTGTGCTCTGCCGAATCCAAGTGGAGCGTGATGGGAAAACCTCGCTTCTTGGCAGCAGCAGTAGGGCCAAAGACGGGTGCGTAATTGCCTGGCGAGGCGGGCGGAGCGAGCGAGGCAGGCGAAGCGAGCCGAACGGTGTCAGCAGGAGTGTTGGTGGACCATCCGCTCAGCCACGGCAACAATCGTTCTGGTCGCCCAGCACCTCACGGCAACTCACCTCCGAGCTTGGTGTGACCCGTTCCCATGGGAGCCGATCTGTCAAACGTATCCAAGACGAATGCATCTATCGCTGGCAGATTGCCTCCCGTGCCGTACCTTGTGACGGACATGGCAAGCGACGTCAGCGCGCAGAGCATGCACGCACGCACGCAACGCAGCGCACCGCCAACTCACAAGCTGCCAACAGGAGTGACCCAAACAACGAATGTAAACTCCTTGGGTGGATCGAGGATGAGGCTGGGCCCAGTTGCGAGCAACAGAGGCCGAATGTACAGGGCGCCTCCAGATGCGTTGCTGGAAGCGACGACGACGACGATAACAAGTTAGGCGTGTTAACTCGGCGCTCACATCCACCCCGCCCTTCCACTCACGGACCGTAGGGCGGCACATAATCCAAATTTCCCGCCACAGCCTTGCGCAATGCGTCTAGAAACAACGGCAAGGGAATGGTAGGCATGCTGGCGGTCTGAGCGCTCAAGTTGATGCGGTGCGCATTCGCATGAGGTCTAAAGATGTGCACGCTGCCGCTCTTGGTGCGAAACGCCTTGATGCCCTCGAAGCACTGCTGGCCGTAATTGAGCGCTGCGGATGCGCTGTGGATATGAAGATATGGCGAAGTGGACCATTCTGGCTCGCCCCACTTGCCATCCTTGTGCGTGACGACGACTTGGCCATGAACAGGTCTATCGCCAAAGCCCAGCTTTGTCCAGTCGATGGAGGAAGTGGGTGCTGTGGCGGATCGAGGTGTTGCTACCGCCATGTTGACGAGAAGGGGGATGCGCGCGAGGGGAGATAGGAGGCTGTGGTGCGCGAGGGTGCGCGAGGAAGGCCGGAGGATATAGAGAGAGACGGGGAAATGCGCGCGAGATCGAGGAACAGGATATTCAGATTCTTGATTCAGATGAAACTAAACTGCATGTCGAACACGCGCGGGGGCGCGCGCGAGTACGTCAATCTTAATTGAATCGTGATCGACTCACTCGGGACTCAAGACTCAAAACTGTCTCGTGACTCACCCACTCGTGACGCGTGACTCGAGCTTGGCAAAAAAACAAACCGCCGGAAGCGCCGGACCGCGCGCTACTACTACTACTTTGACTCAAACTGAAACGCAAATAAGTCGCGGCGGGGGGACGCGGCTCACGTGACTTTCTCGTCGTTCGATCTGCACGCACCACCTCCATTCCGCACGCGCACGCGCACGCGCACGCACTCTCACTCTCACTTTCACCCTCACCCTCCCTCACCCTCACCCTCACCCTCACCCTCACCCGCAGCCTCAGCCGCACCTCCACCCCACCCCCATCCCCACGATGACCTCCGCCGTCACCTCGTTGCTCGCCTTCGGAGGCTTTCCCGCTCCATCGTTCAGCAAGCCCACAGCAGCAGACGTCTACGTGCTGGCCGTGCTCATCTTCAAATACTTTCCCCTCATGACGCCTCTGGTGAAGCTGGTCAATGCACCACACGGCAAATTCGCCGTGCTGCATTCCAAACTGAATCTGCCAGGAAATGCCGCTTGGATGGCCATGGAGATTTGGTCGCCCCTCCTCTTTGCCCTCTCCGTCGCCAGTCCAGTGCTCTCCCACTCCAGCACTCAAGCCGTGCTCACCAACCTCGTTAGCCCAAGCTGGTCTCGTCTAGCATCGCTGCCCACCCCAAACCTCATCCTGGCTGCGGCATATGTTGCGCACTACACGCATAGAGCCGTGCTGCAGCCGCTCAGGTCTCCTGCTCGGTCGCCCATTCACCTCTCCGTCGCCCTCTCGGCCACCGCCTTCAATCTGCTCAACGGCTTTGTGATGGGATCGTGGATCGGAGGGCGTTCGCCATCGATGCTGCTTCCGAGCAGCATTTTCAGCGTCTCTGCCGTGACCGCCGCCCAGCCCTTGCGCGCAGCCAGCTGGTTCTCTGCCTTGCTTCCTCGCAATCCCAGTCTGACGGGAGCCAAGGGAGCGGCCACTGCACCTCTCGCTTCTCCTGGCCTCTTGCCCGAGTCTGCGCTGTACAGCCCCTTGTTCTGGATGGGTGTAATCGGTTGGGCTGTGGGCTTTGCTGGCAACGTCTACCACGACGAAATCCTCATGGACATTCGAAGACCAAAGGCGGGCCAGGCAGACCCAGCGAGCAAGGCAGTGGAGAAGAGGGGCAGCAGCGCGCCGCCAAAGTACGAGATCCCCAACGGTGGGCTGTACAGTTACATCAGCTTTCCCAACTACCTCTGCGAGTGTGAGTGACTCGTTGGCACGCTGACCATGTGGGATGCTGAACTGGACGCTTGTTACGCCCGCAGGGACCGAATGGTCTTTTTACGCCGTCGGCGCCCTCTCGCTCTCTGCCATCTCTCCCCTTTCCCGCGCCAACACCTCTCCACCTCTGGTCTGGTGGGCATACCCTTTGCTCTTGCTGAGCGCACCTCCCGCTCTCTTTGTCCTCTCTGAAATCACCGCCATGCTACCTCGCGCGCTCAACGGCCACGCTTGGTACCGCGCCAAGTTTGGCGTGCAGGGAGATGGAAAGGGTGGCAGGTACCCTGCAGAGCGCAAAGCGATCTTTCCTGGACTCCTTTGAAGCGCGCCAGGGAGTCAGAGGGTCGCGCCATCTTTCCTGGGCAACGCGCATCACGACACAACGTACACGTAGAGGTAATGATAATATCGATTGCAAAGTTCGCTCTGCGCCTCGTCACCTCTCTTCGGTCTCTGCCCGCGCCCGCGCCCGCGCTTCCCCTCCCTCTTCCTCCTCGACCACTTCAATGTCCAAAGGAAAGCGCAAGATGGCAGCGATGCCCGTCAGCCCATTCAGCGTCTTGCCGCTCTCGTGCAGTCCGGACAAGATGACTGCCTCGCCGCCAGCCGATCTGACATCCTCCACTAGCTGCACAAACGTTTTGCGCCGCGCTGGATCAGGAGATCTAAAGAGTCCATCAGAGATCAGCAAGGAGCCAATGGCGCCTCTTGACGCTGCCAGCATGACGTGCTCTTCTCCGTACCACGCTCGAAGCTCGTCCGATGCCAATGTCCGTTGAAATTTGTCCAGCAATTGACCTTCGCGGGCGAATTTGGTGTCTGACAGTTGCGACGAGACCTGTCGCGCGCCCAGCATGCCGTCAGCACGTCAAGCGAGACATTCGCGACCGTGTGCGCGCTTTTGCTCACCTCTGGCGTTCTGAGCACCTCCATCAAGCTGTGAATATGAGGGCTGGCACACGCCACCCTCAAAAACTTTCGTTTGACCTCGTTGCCCGTCAACAGCTTGTCGCCCCTCCTCGTCGCCTCGGCAAACAGATAGTCGTACACGGTATCCTTTGTGAAGCCGGGACTTGCGAGGATGATGAGGCGTATCGCCGGCAAGCCCAGCAATCTCGTCACGGCAGTGTAGACCTGCTGATGGAATTTTAGCACAGCCTTTTCGTGCGCCGAAGCTGCGAGCGATTTGTGCTTTCTGGGTAGCGCCACATCGATGCGCTGCCTGACCAGCGTCATCGAAGAGGTGAGCAAGCACACCACTGCCGTGCCTGGCAAGAGAAGCGGTGACAGTGAGAGACGTAAGAGCGGGCCACCCTCTCCACCCCACGCCAGCCACGTCCACACCGCCCACTCACCTTCGCCCATCACCACTGCACCCACTTCCGCTCGATTGTTGGCATCGCCCGCCTCTTGTAGCCGTTCGAGATGCACGCTATCCCATCTTTGCTTGTCTATGCCTACAGACCTACCGCATTCAATGTCGAGCGTATGGAAAGCGCCCATCTTGACGTGCTTGTTCTCCTCCACCACTCGTCCGCTCACGCTAAGCGTCGCACCCTGACCAGACGAGCCACCGAGCGCCGATAATCCTGGCGCAGCGTCGCCTGACGGAGTGACTGTTCCTGAATTCGCCCCGCTACCACCCGCACCACCCGACGCTGCTCCTGGATCTACGACGGCTGCGCTGCTGCCAGACGCATCGAACTGCAGCTTCTCCACCCTCAACGTCAGCGTCGTCCTGATTCGATGACTCTCGATGGATCCGGTATTGCTCTCCGATTGCACCCTCCGCACCGCTGCAGCCCGCACATTGTCGCCCACTTCGACGAGGTTGTACAGATGATACATGTCCTCGCTTGCGTGTGCGTGTGCGTGTGCGTGTGCGTGCGCAGTAAACTGTGAGCTTGCGCGCCCTCTGAACGCATACACACACACACACCATCCCGCCACTCACTCTTCCTCTGGCACGATGGTGACCCTGCCCGAGCCATCGCGCTCAATGTGTCGCGAAATCAACTTCATCGGGAGGCGTGAGAGCGATCGCGGTCGCGTGGGCGGTCGTAGGGGCGAGATTCAAGATTAGATGTAGTCCCGAGTCGCGAGCGGCGAGCGGCGAGGCGGGCAGATTTGTGGAGTTGATCGTATCGTATGCTCGAGGGTGGGATGGATGCTCGAGGGGTGGGGGGGGCTCGAGGCTCAAACTCGCAGCGCGAGGCGGATGTTGGCTGTGCAACAAAAATCGGCGCGCGCACACTCGGCTGCGCCCACGTGACTGTCGCGCACTCGCATTCCCGCGCGCAAGCCGAACCCCGCGCTGCGTCAACGCCCCTTCCCATCACGCAGCAACAGCTCATGTTCACCAGGCCACACGCACACACGACTCGATCGATTTGCGCGCAAACAGATACACTACAACAAGCAGCAGCAGCAGCATCGACCTCAAGCGAAGCTCAAAATCCTTCCACCGCCCACGTGTTTGGGTCTGACGATGCGCTGAGCGACGAGCTGGTAGATGGCTTTTGTGGTCAAGCTCTCTCCACTCTCGTCCATGCCCTCCGCATTACCAGCACCACCGCCCTTGACAAAGTTTTCCCTGCCGCTGGCAGCCCACCAATCGTTGGCATTGCTCTTGAGCGCCGACATGTCCAGAGCATGCGGAGCAGGCGAGCTGAGCATGCTGCTCAGAATGTAGCAGGCGTGCATCGTCGTGGGCGTGGGTGCAGTGACGGACAGCGTGGCAGGCGCAGACGCGGTGCTCCCTGTTCCCGAAACCGATGTGGCCGTCGTTCCCGTCGCTACGCTATTGACGCTAGTGTCGCCGCCGCCGGGCTGATGGCTCGAGACTACCGCCCGCGCGCCCCCGACCAGCGACTGCAGCAGCTTCAACGTGACTGCAAATGGCGCGGACTCGGACTCCGGCTTTAGGCACCTCAGCACATCGCCCATCGCCGTCCAAATGTTCTCCGTCACGCGCTCCAACTCATCCGAAGATTCCGGCTCTGCTCTAGAGATGGATGCGTCGTCCAGATCTGCTCCCGATGCTGACATTGTCGAGTCTTGCTCATCCTGCGCGCGCACCGTCATGTCCGCCTCGTCCGACGTTTCCATGACGCTGCTTTCGCTCCTGGATGCCGTCGTTTCTCCTCGCCCTGCTGTCGCCGTCGCCGTCGCCGTCGCTGCCGCTTTCGCACGAGCCTGCGCTTGGCGTGTGCGAACCAATGCAGCGCGCTGACGCACACAGCAAAGCGAGCGCGGTGCCACGCGGTCAGCATAAAAGCTGAAAACTTGCGTTCCTGCGTCCGCAGCGCGAGTGCGAGCCTCACTCACCCTATCTTGCAGATCCTTGTGCATCTCCTGCAGGGCCATGACTTCCATCTCCTCCTTGTCGTGCTCCTCCTCCAACTTCACCAGCCTTTCGCGCGCTTCCTTTTCATTCTGCTCAGACGTCGATGCGTGGGCAGGGTCGTTTGCTGCTGCTACTGCTGCTGGTGCGACCGCAGCTGGTGCTGGGACTGCAGCTTGCGCGCCTCCCTGCTTGCCAAGCTTGGTCAGCCTATCCACCTCGACTTGCGCACGCTCCATCTCGCTCTTGAGCTTCTCTGCATTCGACACGAGCGACTTTCTGTGCTTCTCCAGCGCTTGAATGTGTTTTCGCGCGCGAGGAGCGTGATGATGATGCAGCTCCACCAGCTTCTTTGCAGCGTGGAGCAGCGATTTGGCGCTGTAGTTGCTGCGCTCAGATGCCGTTGCGCGAAGAGGCGTGGGTGGAAGAAACTGCTTGGGCTCTGGCAGGCGCGGCACCAGCAGCTGAGTGGGGTCATCCGTCATCACAGTCGTCGTCGACGTCGACGCGCTGTTCGTCGCAGACGAGCGTGACCTGCCCGCCTTTTCGGCGCCAATCAGAGTGCCTGAGCGCGACGTGCCCGCCCTTTCGGCGCCAGTCGAAGCGCCTTCTCCTCCGCTGCTCACCAGCTCGGGCATGGGCGGATAAACAAAAAGCGCAGCATCGAGCGGATCGGCGTCGCGAATGTACCTCAGCACATCGTGCCTTTCCAGATTGAGCACTGCCGAGGTGAATGGCGTGGGACGTTTCTGGGAAGAGGCGTGAGAGGCGTGCAAGGAGGAAATGGCAGCCAGAGTGGACTGCAGCGTAGATAATTGAACGTCCATGGTGTGCGTGCGTGTGTGTGTGTGTGTGTGTGTGTGTGTGTGTGTGTGTGTGTGTGTGTGTGTGTGTGTGTGTGTGTATGTGTGTGTGTGTGTGCGTGTGTGTGTGCGTGTATGTGTATGCGTGTGTGCACGCGGTTGCGGTTGCGCCTGCGCGGTCACGCTGGTGATGGTGGGTGAGATGATTGCAAGTGATGAGCACTCGCACTCTTGACTGCGCCGCCTCGCGTTTGATGTTGCTTGCGCGTGCGTGCGCGTCAGAGCCAACGCGTTCTGCGCATCACGTGATGCCAGCGTGTGCCTTTTGCGTGTGCGTGCGATATCGTCGATGATCACATGCTGCACCGCTATCGCGCCCATGCGACGTCGGTGCGCACAGCAGCTAGCAGAGATGGCGATCATCGCGCGGTGCATGCTGCACCGCGCGCAGTCAGGAGCGGGCATCAGGCGGGGAGTGCTGAGTGCTTCCCAGCGATCACACCCCCTCACTCGAGGTGCGCACGCACGCACACACCACATTAGCCACTCAACCGTTGAACCCATCTTCACGCTCACACGCATCATCCCGAACTCGCAGCCGCACACCCACACCCACGCACGTCCCCGCCACCGCCCATCATGGCAATCTCCAAGAAAGCGGGTGGGAAAAAGGCAGGTGGGGTCAGCAAGCCGCCGCCTTCCAAGGGAGGCGCTTCGAAGGGAGGCGGAGGAGTGGCCAAGGCGGATTGGAGGGAAGGCTTCAAGAAGCCGCAAGTGGGCGTGAGCGACATGACGCTCCTCTCAAAAGTATCCAACGAAGCCGTCAATGATAATCTGCACAAGCGATTTCAAAATGCAGAGATTTACGTGAGCCAGTGGCGGGCGGCATGTATGCGCTTTCGCTTCGCGCCCCTGCTGACACTGTTTGCGCCTCTCAACTCGCTCCGCGCCGCAGACGTACATTGGCAATGTGCTCATCTCTGTCAATCCTTTCAGAGACCTGGGCATCTACGGCCAAGACACGCTCTCATCCTATCGAGGCAAAAACAGGTTGGAAATGTCGCCGCACGTGTTTGCCATTGCAGAGTCTGCTTATTACAACATGCAAGCATACAAGGAGAATCAGTGCGTCATCATCACCGGAGAGAGCGGCGCTGGAAAGACGGAAGCTGCAAAGCGCATCATGCAGTACATTGCTGCCGTCAGTGCAGAGGGTGCGCGCGATATCCAAGACATCAAGGAGATGGTGCTGGCTACCAACCCGCTGCTCGAAAGCTTCGGATGCGCAAAAACGCTTAGGAACAACAACTCGAGTAGGCACGTGAGTGACCGCTCTCGCTCTTATTGGACCAAAGAGTGCGGCCATTCTGACGCGCGAGCGCGCATTCGCAGGGCAAGTTCTTGGAGATCATGCACGACGAGCAAGGCGCACCGACTGGAGCTTCGATTCGAAACTTTTTGCTCGAAAAGGTGCGTCCTGATGCGGCGGCCGCGCGAATCGAGTGATCTGATTCTTGTCTTCTGCGCCCTTCATCCAGAGCCGAGTGGTTGGGCAAATCCGAGACGAGCGCAACTTTCACATCTTTTACCAACTGACAAAGGGAGCCAACGACTCTCAGAGGGAATACTTTGGCATTCAAGGACCCGAAGCGTACGCATATACGAGCAAGTCGAAATGTCTGGACGTGCAGGGCATCAACGATGTGGCCGATTTCAACAGCACCCTAGACGCCATGAACACCATCGGACTGACGGGTGAGGAGCAAAATGACATAATCCGCATGCTCGCTTCCATCCTCTGGCTGGGCAATGCCGTCTTCGTGAGTCTCGCCCGCTCGCTCGCGCGCACACACAAATCCCCTGCTGATCCGTCCGCGCGACCGGCAGAGGGAAAACGCGCAAGGCAATGCGGAAATAAGCGATCCGGGCGTGCCAGACTTTGTGGCCTACTTGCTGGAGGTGGACTCTGCTGCAGTGACGAAAGCGCTGACGGAAAAGATTGTCGAAACGCAAAGAGGCGTGGGCAGAAGAGGTTCCGTTTACGAGTCGCCTCTCAACCCCGCACAAGCTGGAGCTGTGCGAGATGCTTTGGCAAAGGCCATCTACAACAATCTTTTCGATTGGCTCGTGGCCAGAATCAACACCAGTATGGCCCCTCGTGGTGCAGTGTCCAACATGATTGGCATTCTGGACATGTGAGTGGGCGCGCATGACGTGCAAGCTTTCCCGTCGCAAGCGCCGCTGATGGAGCTTGCGCGCCCACGCACGCAGCTACGGATTCGAAATCTTCGAGCAAAATTCGTTTGAACAGTTGTGCATGTGAGTATGCAGGAGAGCGCTCAGCCACACGACTCGCACGGCTCATCCCCCGCGCCTCGCCGTCTGCAGCAACTTTGTCAACGAAAAGCTGCAGCAAATCTTCATCGCACTGGTGCTGCGCAAGGAGCAAGAGTGAGTGATTGCAGACCGCACTCGCCTTGATTCCGCCCCGGCGCTCATCGCGCTCCCCCACGACAGAGAATACGACGCCGAGCAAATCCAATGGAAGCCCATTCCATACTTTGACAACGCAATCGTCTGCGAACTGATAGAAGGCGTACGACCAAAGCCAGGAATCTTTGCCACGCTCAACGACGCTGGTGCGACTGCGCATGCAGACCCCGCTGCAGCAGACAACGCGTTTATGCAAAGAGCAAGCGCGCTCACCTCGAATCCGCGCTTTGAAGCTAGGGGATCTCGCTTCACCATCAGGCACTACGCTGGAGACGTGAGCTACACGATAGGCGGTCTGGCCGAGAAGAACAGAGATGCTCTTGCCAAGGACATTCTCGACTTGGTCGACACATCCAGCAACGGCTTTTTGAGAAATCTCTTCTCTGAGCGCCCTGATCCAAACAGCAAAAAGAGACCGCCTACTGCTGGTGACCGCATCAAGGCTAGCGCCACCGACCTTGTCGACACTCTCATGAAAGCCGAGCCGCACTATATTCGGACGATCAAGCCAAACGAGACAAAAAGTCCAAAGGATTATGATACAGCTCGCGTGCTCGAACAAGCCGTCTACCTCGCTCTTGCTGGTAAGTCTCTGCCGCCTAATCTCTTGCAGGCACTCTCCTCCTCATATTCGCACCTCCTCTCCCCCCCCAGAAAATATTCGCGTCCGTCGCGCAGGGTTTGCATACAGATCCACTTTCGAGAGACTGGTCGAGCGCTTCTACCTGCTGTCGCCTGCCACTTCCTATGCCGGCGAGTACACTTGGCAAGGGGACGCGCGGAGTGGTTGCGAGCGCATCCTGACAGACACTGGCATAGCCAACGAGGAATGGCAAATGGGCGTCACAAAGGCTTTCATCAAGAGCCCCGAGACGCTATTCGCTCTCGAAAAGATGAGAACAGAGTACTGGAACAACAAGGCTCGCATGATTCAGAGGGCCTTTCGTAACTACATGAGGTACAAGAACGAGTGTGCGCGGAGGATTCAGCGCGTGTGGCGCACCCAAGCATCGAGACTTGCCCTGGTGCAGCTACGAGATTACGGTCACCAGATGCTCGCGAGCCGAAAGGAGCGCAGACGTTTCAGCCTCATCAGCATGCGTCGATTCACTGGTGATTATCTGGACGTCGGCGGCAGCAGCGCCGAGGGTGAGATGCTCAAGAGGGCGTCGGGCATGGCGAGCACCGAAGATGTAGCTTTCTCTGCGCGCGTCCATATTCTCGTCTCCCGCCTCGGTCGATCCAGCAAACCCTCGCCGCGCTTCTTTGTCCTGACGGACAAGGCGGCATACTTTCTCGTCACTCAGCTTGTCAACAAACAGCCGCAAACGACGTGCGAAAGGCGCATCGTGCTTGGCAGCATCCAATCCGTTGGGCTTTCCGCTCTTCGCGATGACTGGATCGTATTCAACGTATCCGGCACGCCGGAGCCCGATCCCGTATTTCACACGCACTTCAAGACCGAGCTCACCACGCACCTTTTGCAGCGCACCTCGGGTGCCGTCAATGTGATCGTATCGAACGCGCTGGAGCACTCGACGGGCAAGGACAAGAAAAAGATTGTCAAGTTTCAAAAGGATGAGGCGGTGCAGCGAGAGGATGTGTACAAGAGCTCTACTGTGACGGTCGCTTCAGGAGAGGCACCCAGCAGTCTGAGCAAGCCACCTGCCAAAAAGAAACCCGGCTTGGTCAGACCGATCACGTCTGGCAAGCTGCTTCGAGCCGGCGGGCCATCGAATGCCAACCGCGTCGCCAAACCTCGCGCTGTGCCCAGGCCGACACCTACGCCAGCGACGCTTCCCAGCGGCAGGAAAGCGGCGGCGCCAGCTGCACCTGCTGGCATTCCCACAACGAACGGCTCCTCGAACAGAGCCGCGGCCCCCAAACGCGCATCGGTTGCTGCTCCACCACCCCCGCCCGCGGTACCAAAGTATCTCGTCCTGTACGCCTTTGATACGGATCAGGATGGAGAAATGTCGCTCGCAAAGGATGAAGAGGTGGAAGTGACGCAAAAGGAGGAGAATGGTTGGTGGCTGGTCAAGAAGAATGGCATCGAGGGCTGGGCTCCTTCAAACTACCTCGAGCTGATCAAGCAAGCTCCCAAGCCGAAAGCTGCCCCGCCTCCGGCGCCGCCGCCGACGAAAAGAGCGCCACCACCAGCCCCCGCGGCTGCAGGTACGACTTCGTCCGGCTTTGGTGCACCCAAGCCGGTCACGGCTGCTGCCAAACCCGCTTTCGCGAACGGTGCAGCGGCAGCAGCAGCAGCAGCACCCGCGCCCAAGCCCAAACCCACGACGAGCAATGTGGGAAGCATGAAACGCTCAGAGATGCCAACGGCCATGACGGCAGATGCGGGCGCAGCGCCAGTAGCAGTGATGCCCGGCATGGGCGCACCCGGAGGATTCGCAGCCGTCTTGGCCAAAAAGAAGGCCGAGGCCGCAGCAGCGCGAGGTGAAGCGCCTCCAGCTAGTGCAGCCGGCGGTGGTGGTGGCGGCAGCAGCAGCGGCGGCGGCGGCGGCGTCGGAAAAGGTCCACCGCCCGCACCTGGCGCAAAGCCAGGCAAACCTCCTGCTCCTCCCAAGCCTTCCGCTGCAGGATCCGGTGGTGGTGCGAGGTTGCCGCCGCCTCCGCCTCGCAGGCCGTAAATTGTTCAACGACTCGCCGGATTCGCTGCAGCCCTGTAGAAACTTCTCTCTTCCTTTCCCCATTCGCTTTCCATCTTCTAACGATGTACCTGTGCTTACATGAGCGCGGGCGTGTATGGCGTCACAATTGATCAGATACACACAAAAAGAATCACGTTGGCGCGGATGCGGAGCAATTACAACGCGCGTGCGCGATTATAGACTAAGTGCAGAGGTCGTTGCGGTCGATCCGCCGCCTGCCGCTCCGACAGTGATCTTTTCGTTTTTTGCCTGCGTATCAGGCAGAACGTGAACGCCGGTGGCCACATCGCAATCCTTTAGGTTGCACCTGTCTCCAATCGTGGCACCTGGGCAAAGAATGACCGAGTCCAGCTTGACGCTGGCGCGCGCGCGCGCGCGCGCGGGGCGCATTTTTCGTGTCAGCAGGTGACAATGTGCGCGAGCGCGCCCGTACGCCAGCACAATCCATGCGGCACTCACTTGTCCCCAACTTTGACTCCCTGCATCAACACGCAGCCCGTCAGCTTTGCGCCCTTGCCGATCGCGCATCCCGGTCCAACGATGCACTTTTTGAGCGCGCAGCGGTCGCCGAGCGTCAGCAACGATTGGTGCTTGCTGGAAGAAGAAGCACCCGCAAACGTCTCCGAACCCGCAGCATCCGAAGCGAAACGCGGAGCAAATGGAAGAATGGTGTCTGTTGAGACTTGCGCCGAGGGGTTGATTTGCTGCGCTTCGATGAAGTTTGGCTCAAACGTCGAGATGGGCAGCACGAAACCTTGCGGCAAGCTATTGGGTGACGATAGAGCTTTGAGGAGCTGCGGAAGAAAGGGGGGGCGCGACGAGGCATCGTTGGATCGCTTGCTCAAAAGGAGCTGGCGAGACGGCAGAACACTCACCCAACGGTTGCACTCCAGAAACGTCGGCACCGTGTTTGCTCTGGCAAAGAATCTGCGCTCCTTTGCTGCAGGTGAAGCTGCTTGCGCGCCATAGTCAGACGGCGCATCGAGCCGTTGGATGAGGGCGACGCAGGTGATTGAGGATGCAGCTCTCGATGCAGATCCGTCGCGCTTCGAGCCTCCCGCCGTCGATCGACCGCCGAGCACCGATGCAGCATTGGGATGTATCAAAACGCTGCTCTGCTGCAATGCAGTCGACAAGGGATGCAGAGGCTTGGCAGCATCCCCATCGCCAAATTCGTCGTCTGCGTCTTCTTTCGCGTCTTGCCTCGCATCCGTTCCAGACCTCACAGCCTTGTCCCACAGCCCCCTCTGATAGCCAGCTTTGATCAGCAGAGGCACGACGTGCTCTCTCAGACTGGTCAGCGCCTTTCTAGCATTGAGCAGCCTCTCCGTTTTTCTCTTGTCCAAGATGTAAATGTGACTGTCCAGCAAGTTGGTGCTCACTCTGAGCTTATTGGTTCGCTGCGCGACCGCGCAGCGTAGTGCTAGGCCATCCTCATTATCGGATAAGTGCGAGAGGTGGAGCAAGCGATGAGAAGAGCGCAAAGAGCCCCACACTGCGTCCGTCGAAGAGCTGAGTGACGAGGCTGGGGATGATAGACAGTGACCCATCTCTTGCTTGAAAGAGTCTGCAGAGTAAGCGCAAAGGAGCTTTGCTGGGCCTGTTGGAAGGATGTGCGGGAGCAGACGAGCATGATCAGACGGCCGTGCGCTCGCGAGCGCTCTCACCACGCGCGCACTCACCCTCCTTTTCTCTCTCCTTGCCCGTGCCATCGCCAGCTCCTGCCTCGTACAGCATGCATGTCAGAGCTGGTTTTGCAATTTGATCCGCATCCTCATCCTGTGCGATCGATCCGATGCCGGCTTCGATGTGGGCGGCAATGAGGCGAGTGAGGGGTGAATACGGGTTGAGCAGATCGATGGGAAGCACGAGGGGATCAGACTGACGAGGGAGGCGTGTGCATCAGCTGATGGCCGAGGGCGCACGCAAGCACGCGCACCAAAATCTCAAACACTAACCTCCACCTTGCCCAACTCAAAAGCCCACCTGAGCAGCTCTGCAGTTCCGAGCTTTGGAATCCTTCTATAGTCTTTCTCCTTTGCCTCCTCCTCGTCGTCGTCGTGGTCGTCGTCGTCATCATCATTATCATCATTCGCCGCATCTGTCTGCAGGGTTGTTGCTGATCCACCCCCAGCCAGCTCCTTTTCATAGGGCCCAAGGGGCAAGAGATGGACTTTAAAGGTATCGCTAGCGCGTGATGTAGGCAGACCTGGCAGGGAGGAAGCGGCGGCATGGTCCAGCTGACTAGGAGATCGGTCCGGACGCACTTTCAAGCCGTCGACGATGTGAATGCCGATGGAGTTGGACTGCGACTGCGACTGCGCTTGCGCTTGCGCTTGCTTCGCTCCAGTGCGAGTATTGTTGGGCTGCAGAGATGCTTGCTTGGATCGATGAGAGGGGGGCAGGAGGAGCCTGTATGCTTGCAGCGTCTTTGAGATGTCGGCGTGCTCGGCGCACGGAGCAAATAGGATGGCGTAGCGACAGTCGGGCAGGGAGGTGAGGATGCTTTGCAGTGCGTACGCCGCTACCGGTCTGTTGGCTAGCGGTAGCAGCGCCTTGCTAAGCGGTCGCAAGCTCGCGCCTCCGCCTCCGCCTCTGGCCGATGTCGACGCTTCTCCTTGCGCCTGGTCATATGTCGAGTCGCACAGCGGGTACAGTCCCTCACCCGTTCCGCTGAATAGCACCGGCGTCAACAAGCTTGGCCAGGACATTGCGACGATTCACGATTGCGAGGGCAGGGTAGCGTAGCTTAGCCTGCTTTGCCGTCGCTCTCCTGGTTGTTGAGGTGCATTCAGGAGTTGCTTGAGCGATTGGACGTTTGATTCTTGATTGTGGTGGGGTTGCGTGATTTGTGGTGCGCGCGTCGTTCGGTTGGATCTTTTGCGCTTCCCTTGTAAATTGAATCTTGAATTGGAATCAAATCAAGCATGCGAATCTTGAATTCTTTACCACATGCCAACACGTCACGTGATCTCGAACATCACGTCTTCTTGATCCTAGCTGATCCCCTTGATCGCTGCTGCTGCTGCTGCTGCTCGTTGCTATCGCTGATGCATGCATGCGCGCGCTCGGTTCATCTCGGTTGCTCGGACTCGTGACTGTTGTGCCGGGTGGGCGCGCAAAGAGAGTTTGAGTCACGAGCAGCTTTGGTTGGGGCTGAAAGCCGCGATGAGCTTTGCGCCTATGCTGTATGAGTGTGATGAGTGAGTGAGTGTATGTATAGCTGCTGCTGCATGTGAGCACCTACAGTGCACCCCGCTGCTGCGTGTGACCAAAAAAAGCCCTCCACTCGCCCCTGCCTGCCCGCCCGCCCGCGCTTCATCCAGAGAGGAGAAGGAAGGCGGCGAGCGAGCGAGCGAGCGCATCATCTGCTTTCTCCATCACCAACAACCCCCATCACTCAAACGACTCACCACCACCACCACCACCACCACCACCACCACTGCACCGCCGCGACAAGATTTGCAGCTCGCAACTTTACCCAAACACCACCACCACCAACAACAGCAGCAATAGCAGCAGCACATCATGTCGGCTGCTCGCACCTTTTTTGTGGGAGGAAATTACAAGATGAACGGTACGCTGGACAGCACCAAGAAGCTCATCGACATTCTCAAGAGCGCTCAACTCGATCCCAAGGCTGGTGAGTGTGTGGTGAGAGTGGGTGATGAGAGTGGGAGTGGTGAGAGTGGGAGTGGGTGGTGAGAATGGGAGCGGTGGAAGAGTGAGAGTGTTCGCGTCACACGAGGGGCAGCCAGCTCTATGCGAGACAGCTAGCTCTATGCGAGACAGCAACAGCAAGGCTGACGGAAAGAGGACTTTTTTGCTCCCTACCCCCCTCGCCTCTACTCCCCTGGCCTACAACCCACAGAGGTCGTTGTTGCGCCTCCCGCGCTTCACCTCCTGCTGACCAAGGAGCTGCTGAGCGGATCCAAGATTGGCGTGTCTGCTCAAAACGCCTACCACAAGGCATCCGGAGCGTTCACAGGCGAAATCTCCGTCACGCAGCTCAAGGATGCTGGTATCCCTTGGGTCATCTTGGGTCACTCTGAGCGCAGAACACTGTTCGGGGAGAAGGACGATGATGTGGCTGAAAAGACCAAAGCTGGATTGGAACAGGGTCTCAGCGTCATCCTCTGCGTAGGCGAGACTTTGGCCGAGAGGGAAAAGAATGAGAGCATAAACGTCGTTGTGCGTCAGCTCGATGCTGTTGCCAAGCAGATTAGCGATTGGAGGTGAGCAGTCTAGTCCTGTCCAGTGCGCTTCGAATTCCCGCATTCACAACGCTCACGACGGTTCTTTTTGCAACCTGCCAGCAAGATCGTCGTGGCCTACGAGCCCGTTTGGGCCATCGGAACGGGCAAGGTAGCGACGGCAGAGCAGGTGAGTTTGCCGCGTCCGCAGACGAAGCGCTCGCATGGAAAGCTTTGCGATCTCACAACCCTCGCCCCCTCTTTTTCCATGCAGGCTCAAGAGGTTCACGCTGCCATTCGCAAGTGGGCCAACGATAAGCTGGGCTCTCAAGCTGGAGAGGCTCTGCGCATCATCTACGGCGGATCCGTAGCCGCCAAGAACTGCAAGGAGCTGGGTGAGTCGAATGCGAATCGAACGCTGGGCAGCAGTTTGTGTTGCGGGCATGTATGCGCAGACGCAGACGCTCACCTTGTCCATCGCTGTCGCTTTCTCGCTCGCCCCCCCAACCCCATCTCTTTCAGCTTCTCAGCCCGACATTTCCGGTTTCCTCGTTGGAGGCGCTTCCCTCAAGCCCGAATTTGTGGACATTGTCAACGCTCGTCTTGTAAGTCGAGCCGATTGCGCGTGCGGGAGGGGGGGGGGGGGGGGGGGGGGGGGGGGGGGGGGGGGGGGGCATCGGCCGTGAGCAGGGTTTGTCGCGCTGACGAGCATCGCGCTCCTCCACCCCAGTGAGCTCTGAAGCCTGCGCAGGCCTCGCGAAATACCGCCGCTGCACCAACCGTTTCTTCCAAATATGCAGATCAAACGACGCTCACTCGAGACAGCTGTGTAGTGAAGACGGATTGCCAATCACAATCCTGAAGCACCGAATCGAAAATGTTGCTTGCTGCATGAATACGTCGTGATTCTGATCAGCAAGTCTGCGTCAGATAGCCGCGCCACGCCCAACTCTCCTGGGCTTCATCGCTCGAGCGGACAGGTCACACTGTGCCCCGCAGTCATCACGGGCTGCGACGGCTACAAGTCGAGGTGTGCGAAGCTGTATGCCTCGGGCGCGCCTGATAGAAAGGTATAGGCGTGTGATGGGGCAGACACGATCGACTCTCATCAGTCTGCCAGTCACGAGTCAGGCGATGCGTACGTCATATGAGGCGAGCGTCTCGGATTCCGACGCATGAAAAAAAAAAGCCCCTCGCGAAGCAGCACGTCGTAGGGTTCCCCGCCGTACGTTGCGCGATGCTAGCTGCAAGAGGTTCCTGCGCGCAAAGCACACTCAGCATGAGCGAAGCCCGCGGCGACGAATGGGGCCGATACGATCGAATAATGAAAATCCGTGAGAATGTTGCCAATATGAATTGCGGTGCCAGAAAGGTACGTCGTCGATGTGTGTGTGTGTTTCGCATGCGAGAGGTCTGAATTGAGATGTAATAGGAGCGCGTGATACGCGAAGCATAGGTGACGAGGGGGACATGTACAGCTAGCTAGTCGACGGGAAATCATGGAATGCAAATTTTAGAATGTCGCGATGCCGATGCTGCGCTTTGAAAGAGGGGAGGGAGAGATGTGCGTCGAGCACAATGTAACTGAATATCACGTTCCTTTGCAAAAAGGGCTTGCGTCAGAGGACGATCTAGTGCAAACGAAGAAGTGGTGGTTCGTTTTGCGTTTGACCTCGCTGAGTATTCTGAATGTCTGGCGCGTACGGTGGTGGAAAAGTGCTGCTGGTCTTGTCGGTCTCTAGATAGTTCGGAGTCAACAAGCTGCTTGAGATGCCTAGCGAGGCGGCGTTGAAGGCTTGAGTCAGCGTAGAGTCGTTGGTGAGCGCAGAGTGACCAGCATCGCTCGAGTGGCGATCCGATTCCTCTTCATTCGGGCCATATCCGTACAGTCTGGGGCCAGTGTTGAAGACGGGCGTCTGTGGCTCGGTGGAGGGTCTGGAAGACATGTCGGTCGCAAGGGATGGATGACTATCGCTGCTGCCACCTGTGTAGGCTGGGTCCGGCAGACTACCGCGGTGGCGGTTGATGGGCGTGTGCAAGCCCGCTTCGAGTTGATTCACATCCTGGCCATGTTGCTGAAAGACGTTGCCAAACTGAGCACCTTGTCCGACTGGCTGCGCATGAGCAGCATCTTGCACGTAATTGTATTGTTGATTGCCAAGCTGAGCAGCTCGATGATAGGAGTGCACTTGGCTTCCGAACGTGCCGGACGGCGCTTGCAGGAAAGCGGTGAGCTGATCATGATGTTGATAGCGGGCGCCATTGTCGTCATAAGAATGAAACAGTCCTTGCTGCTGACCTCCTGGAGTGGCTACGCGGTATCCGTTTGGCGTCGTGTGAGCGTCGGTTGTCAGACCATAGACTCGACCGTCGGAGAGCAGATGTAGGCCGTTGCTAGCCATGTGCTCTCGAGCGCGCATCGCCGACGGGCTGGCCGCCATCGCATCGACGCTCGACACCGTCGAGTCTCGTCGGTCATCTGGTGTTGGATGCAAAGCTATGCCCAGTGCCATGTCGCCGCGCGAGTCACTGACAGCGCTGCTCATGCCGACGCTTGCTGGACTCTGCATGGCCCAATTTTTGGTCACAGCGGCTGGGTTGAATTGCCTGTGCGTGTTGATGTGCTGCTCAAGCGAAGAAGCTCCATAGGGTACCTGGCCGTAAGCACCGGACCAATTTGAGGGCGAGAGGACCACTGCAGGGTTGGTCGGCTTGACGGCACTCTGAGTACCTACGACGTGGCGATCCCGGAGAAGTTGCCTTTGTTGAACGGCCTCGGTGGGATGGTTACGTCGGGTGTGCTTGGTGAGCGTCGTCTTGCGACAGTATGTCTTGCCGCATCCCTAGAGAAAAGCGACTGGGTGTCAGCAGTCGAGCGCTTCTTCGTGTAGCAGACAGACACTCACCTCGACGAGACACTTGTAGGGTCGACGACCGGTGTGAATGCGGCGATGACGGGCCAGAGAGCTCGAATCGGCACTAGCGGTGGGGCAGCCGACGGTTCATACTCAGCGCTGCCCCCTCGAGATGGAGACTCGTAGCTCCACTCACAAAGCCTTGTCACAATCTTTGCACTGGTGTGGACGCTCTCCCGTGTGCACACGCATATGAACCGTCAGGGCGCTGCGTTGTATGAACGTCTTGCCGCATTTCTTCCAAGAGCAGCGGTATGGTCGATAATTTTGATGAATACGTGTGTGCCTGGCAGACCAAAAAGTTGCACGCAACACGTCAGACGGTGCACGCACGATCGTCCCGCACGGTTCTGAACACGCTCACCTCGCCAGGTCAGAGCGGCTGTCGTCGAGTAGAAGCAGCTGCTGTGAGCGTGGCGCATCGTCATCGCTTTCAATTCGAACGCACCGAGAAAAGGCTTTGGAGCATCCCTTGAAGCCGCATTCGAACGGACGCGCCTCGGTTCGATGATCGTCATGCACGAGCTCTGCAAAAGTGCCGAGAATACGGATGACGAATGCACGCGCAAGTTTAGCATGGCGGCTGCACGCACGTCGGCACATCCGATACTCACCTAGAATGTCCATCGTTGTCATGTGTGGGTTTGAAAGCGTTGAACAGACGAGCAAATTGACGTCAAAGCCTTTGGTAGGCTGCGGGTGGAGGGGTGGATGCATCGAGCGACATGAGAACAAGAAGATGCTCTACTTAAGACTCGAACAAGAAGATGCTCAGGACCCAAGCGTGGCCCTCATCGCAAGGCGACCGATCGTGAGCGTGCACAGCTGCCAAGTAGACTTGCGCTCTATTCTTCATCCTGAAGCCGGAACGTCGCCAGTGATTGTCGCTTGGTCTAGGCTGCAGCTCAGCAAGGCGACCTTCGAGTTGGCCGTCTGGCTCTTCCAAATCCGTGAGCAGCCAAAGAAGGTCTGAGCAGGCGTGACGCCAGAGACGCGCTGCCTGGGATTCGACGATAATAGCACGACACTGCAACTAGTGACGCTCGCTGACTGCCTACCATTCGTATCACTTCAGAGCGCAATCCGCGAAATGAACTGCTCGCATGCGCCTCGAGTCTTTGTATGCTCGCAAAGCGGCAGACCTGAAACGGCGAAGCTCGATGGGGAATTGGGCAGTAGACGTGGAGTTTGCGACGCTAGTGGTGGACCTAGACCTCGCCTGCCTGCGGCGGGATGAATTCGCTGCCCCTATAATTTGCTCAGGCCTCCCCTTTCGAGTTCGAATCGCATCGGACCAAGCCATTGGGCGACTACTACTCGGTCTGTAAAGTGCCGATGCACATGCGCATAATGTTGATCCCGTTCGCGCTGCATGTCAGGCTGTTGAGACAAAGTGCGGACAGGTAGAGACGAGCATGTGTTGGCGAGGGTGGCCAAGGCACTGACGTGAAGCCAACAAAGGAGTCTCCTTCAAGCAGACCTGCAAGGCTATGTGAGTCTCGCATCCAGATTACACATCGGGTACAAGCTGCGCCGATAGATTTGAGCACGAGCCCCTATCAATCTGTAATCGTCGCTACGATAACGCGCAACGACCATCACGTCCCAGGCACACCTGCACAAAGGCACTTCAAAACTCGACAAACACAAGTGGCGTGTGCACCGTCCCACGAGAACTGCACAAGAGAGAGTCTGGGCGGCATCTCAGAGTGCTGTTCGTCGGGGCAGTAGCGGTACTGACTGATTTCGGTGCTAGTGGAAAGTGATTGGTGTGCTCGCAAGTGATCGCGCCCGGGACAAGCCTCGCACTGGCTTCCATTGGTGAGCAGCAACAGCTTTGATCGCTCCTGCCCAGCGACGCGATTTGGTCGCTTTTCATTTTCTTGTGCTTTGACCTTCATTCTAGACCGGACTTGCGCACTCTTCGCGCCGCCAGGGCTTGAAGCGTCTCACGACATGCCGGCGCCGTGCACTGCACCTGACCTGCCCAGGTAAATGTCAGACGTGCCGGCGTTCCTGAAAGAGCCAACCGTTGTGCGAACGCTGGCATCGTCTTAGACCTCCGCAAGAGAGTCGGAGTTGTTCACGTTTTGCGTGGTACTCCAGAAATGAAGCTCTCAGAGCGAGGATGTCGACGCGCATCGGCAATTTGTACTGCAGAATGCCAGCGCTCGGACCTGTGTGATCGCCATGTACTTTTCTCCATCCATCGCAACGCCTTTTACGACACATGGTCGGCCACTCACTCACTCGCAGATAGCGATGGGCCATCCGCGGAGTCCGGCATCGTGGAGAGCGTGCAGATCGGATGTAAAAGCTGCATCGTCATGGGAAACATGCCAGATTGATACATTCAAAGGCCCCACGGTCCTGCGTCTTGTCTCATCGCTGCCGATGCTGCATATCTGCGTTTGCTGCTGCTGACTCACTGACGTTGGACTTGCCGCTAGCGTAAGCAATCAGCACGTCGCCGTTTCTTCAAGCTTGGTGTGGCTGGAACAGCAATCGTAGACCGTCAAGTCAAGTCGGACGGGGCGAGGCTTGCTGACGACCATAGATCCTCTTACAACCGGCTCAGAGTCAATAACGCGACGTGCCCGCCCCGCGATCGTACATTCTTGCAGGATCTCAGATTGCTTGTAGGGTGCAGATGGGGACCTGTCCGGCAGCCGCTGCAAGTGTAGTGGTAAAGGAGCGCGACTAACGAAATGGCGCAATCGTTCCACAAGCCTAGCGGAGGTCCCAATCCGCGAGGCTTCCTCTCCACAAAGCCATCCAGGTACATATGCTCGGCGCAGCGGCCAAAGGCGGCGGACTTGCTAGGGATACTCGATTTGCAACGAGTGCGGCTAGCGCGGCTGACGAACAAACAGCTGCCAAAGACAACAAGCCAAGTAAAGTGGACGGGAGAAAGTCTAACGCGCTAACGGACTTACCAGCAAGCACTACACTAGCGCGATCACGATGTGGTGTTTCGAGTACTGTACGTAGCGGAAGCATCTGCTTCTCCGCGAGCTTTCCGTCAGACTTGCCGTAGAATCTAAATCTCTGCCTCGATCCTAGCGTTCGCTAGACCTTGACAGAGTCATGGCATACCTTGCCCATGGGCTGTGGGACGTACGACGTGGGACGTGCACTTGCAATTTGCCGAACTTCAAGCTCGAGCCGATGGACTGCCGCCGTCTGGTAGCTCTTTCGGTAATGCTACCTCTTCGCTCGTCGAGACTGCTTCGGGACAGGTGGTATAATACGTAACAGCGGTCCAGTGTCGAGGGAGAGCTCGCGAGATAAGCACCCAGGACTGAGACATGCAACGGTCAGCAAGAGTCCAGCCTCGTCGGTGATCACCTCTCGTAACATCGACCATTGCATAAGAAGAGCCCGGAGATAGCGCTGCAAGCCAAGTGAATGGACGACATGAGCCCCTAGCAATCGTGACCGCCTGCATGCTGCACGGAAGCGATCGCAGGGCTCGCGTATCAATCACGAATCAAGCTCTGCTCACGCTACGTGTGCAGTGGACATTTGTACCTGCATGCATGCTTTCCACACCGGGGAGGTAAATATAGACATGTAAGTGTACCATGCGTACCGCCGTCTGTTCCTGTAGAAGCTGGCTCCCCCTTCCATGCAGCCACCGAGGCGCCGTGCAGGTAGACTTTGCGTCGAGTCTGAGTGGCTCCCGCGGACTCGCGCGGCGAGAGCCGAGCGTTCATTTCATTTCGCTTCGACGATTCGGATGCCAATACAAAGCGCGCTTCACACTGCAAGTCTCACAGCTGCGCAGAGGCATGACAGCTGCCAGCCTACCATTGCGAGAAGAGCTCGCTACCCATCATGAGCGGTGAGCAGATGAACCTGACTGGGTGTGCTTTGGAATTTGCAATCGCGGAGACGGGGAGGGCAAACTTTCGTCTTGGTGCAGTAGTCGCCCCCCAATTGGTCGGCAAGATCGTTTGCCGAAACGTCGGCGCACTGTTGCCCCGTGCCAAAGAAGGCCAGATATGTGCAGTCGTCGCTAGTCTATCTGGCTCCCTTTCCGTGGGTCTTACCGCCGCTCGGGCCGCGGACCAAGGGAAAGGACCACTGCACTCCGCGTCGATCGCACATCATGCATCGACATCCACACTGCGGCAACTCGAGCGCTACCACGGGCCGCAAACATCCGAGCACGTTCCAGCAAGTCTCGAAGTCGGCTGGACCTTGCTCACGCCACGCGAGTCACGTTGCCGGTATCTACGTCATGGATCCAGCCCGTAATCAGCGTCGTATCGACCAGCGGATCGTTCTTGAGCAGCGCAATGTCATCGTGGACAGATTGGTGGAGGTCCTCGAATCCAAAGTACGTCATCACATCCGCAAACGGCTTGACACGACGGCCGATCTTCTCGACGAGCGTCTTGCGTATGTCTTGGTCCCTAGCGTGCAAAAGACCACACTTGGTGTGGTGCATGAGGATGATTTCCTTGGCGCCCAAAACATGTTGAGCAAGATGAATGCTGCGCAGCAGGTCTGGCACCCGGCCACCTGCAGAGCGCAGCACCTTGACTTCGCCTGCCTTGAGTCCAAAGGCCGCTTCGGGCAAGATACGAGTATCCATCTGGCGTCAAGAGACCAGCACAAGTCAACAACGGAGCGTCGAGCGCAAGCATTTTGCCTGCATTTCGCTCACACAGGCAATCAGCGTGGCCCTTGGACTCTTTGTATCAGCCGGTAGACGCCAGCTTTGAGACTGCCGATCAGGGCAAGAAGCAAGAGTGTAATTAGAGCGAGGCAATGCAATGAAGATGGCCTAATCGCCAAGAGTTTTCTGCTCTCCAGTCTATGAACTCACCAATTTCGCATTATTGCGAGCAAACTTTTCGGCCACGGATCCTGGCGGAGCTTTGAGCATCTCGTGCAGCTTGCTACTCGCCTCCCCAGCCTCGTAGCTGGTCGGCATGGACGTGTTTTGCCCTGCTGGCTTGGCTTCGCTTGTGCTGGCCTCAACGTCGAACCAGCCAGATGGAGGACCTATACCAGGAGCCTGCGCTGCGGTGTTGGGCAAAGCTGTGCTTGACGCGACGATGGCTAGGCAGATGACCACGACCAAGCGTGCCGATGGAAACATCATAATGTGGCACGTGGCAGGGTGCGAAGGGGTTTCTTTTGAGGAAACTTTCTTGCTGCGGTTCTTTAAATTGGGTGAAGGGGCGCAAATCGAAAAAAAGGCGAGCTTTGGGAGAGTGGGTCATTCCTCACAAGCTACGCGCGTCTTTTGTAACGCTCCGGCACAGCTCGTGTGACGCGAATGAAGGTCAGGACATGACAAGAGCAGCACGGGATGGGTGTCCGCGATCGAGTCGCAATGAGACCTTGCCCCTACCAAGCAGTCTGAATCTCGACCAGCATCCGAGGGTTGATGTCAGCTTTTTTATTATCCCGTTGCTGTGGTAGTTGGCACTCTCCCAGCGGTTACTGAACACCCTGCCACTCGAAAGCGAAGGTGTATGCGATCGTACGACTTGATGTCGCCTACAGACGCGTTACGCGTCAGGAACGGATGGACCTGGTACCGCAAATGCCTGCCATGCCCAAGACGATTCGTGTCGCTTTCCCATACGACGCTGCTCCCCGCCTTATTTCATTACGGCAACAACTGAGAGCCGGGTGTGCTGCGGGCCGCCTGCTCCTCTTCCGAGCCGATACCACCGTGCAGTGTATCGTCGAAGCAGTCGCAGCACGCAACCGTCGACAAGCCCGAGAGTTGGGTCGCCCAGGTAAATGGACGGCCCACTCACCGCTGGCATTCCTCTTGCACCGCCGTGCAACTTCCAACACCAAGCTCGCGAGCGTGCTGAAGGAGGACCTCAAAGTGAAGCACAGAGAACTCTGCGTGAGTGCTGTGCAAGCTCGGCAGAAGGGAACGCCTTGACGGTGTGGTTGCTTTGCTGCCAAATGACATCGAGTTGCCACCTGATGGACGAGAAGGTCCCTGTTCCTGCGGTGGCGCGTGGCTACCGGCACACGACTTGGTCCTAATCGTAGCAAAGGCACACAAGTAGCGCCTACAACGCATCGACGAGGCGCTTCTTTAGCGCTCCGTTTCTCTCAGCCCTGTGCCGAAAGTACACTTGCATCACCGAGCAGGTGCTGGAGGTCGGCGATTTAGGGACTCGACAGCCAGCAGTGCGTCAATGGCGCAAAATCACATTCTTAATGCAATCACACAGTGACCCATGCCGCCATCGCAGTTGTTCATTCCACGCAAGTACCATTGTATGGCCCAGTCGAGGGCAGGCTCGCAACAGTGCAAGATCGACGCCATGCGCCTGGCAATGCAGGGTCATGACGACGCAGAAAGTCGGAGAGTGTGGTACTTTGGAAGGGTGCATAGACGCCTGGCAAGCCTTCGTGCGGGGTGATTGGAACAGTCGGGAAGTGCGACTCGCACGGTGTTCCTCGTCGCCTTGATCGAGAGGCACAAACATCTTGGCGGATGATCTGGCGCACATTCACACTGCGTCGGCGAGATCGAGATGGGCCGCATACATCCCTTGTGCCGGCAGTTTTTGCCTTCATTCTGAGTGTCACTTTGATCAATTTTGGCCACGATAACGTCGCATGGCTGCAAAGAATCGGCCATCTAATGGTCTCGTGACAATGTAGAGCTCCTTCGTCTTCTCATGGCGATGGGGCTTCCGCTTCCGCTACCGCTCCCTCTTCTGTAGGGACTTGCGCTCCTTCTCCCCCCTCTCTCCTCCTCCCTAGGACGTAAAGGCGGGGGAGGTCTAGTTTCCCTCTCTTTGTCGCGGACATCTCCGTCGCGTCCCCAGCCGTGCTGAGGCGGACCTTGACCCCATCGTCCAGCGACTTGTGGGCGTCGTGGTCCCATAGGCGCTTCACCTGCTGGAAAGCCGCGATTCGAATGCGGTGGCGGACCCGAAGGGGGTCGTCCACCATATCCGCCTGGAGCATCGTGAGGAGCACCTCTATCACCTCTGTATGAAGGACCGTACCCACCATAGGCTTCCGGTCTGGGCCCTGATGCGCCTCTGGGTGGCCCGCTCCTATAGTCACGCTGCTGTGCCCACCTATCACGTCCATCTCTTGCGTCCCTCTCCCAGTCCCTCGCACCTCTCGCATCCCTTCCGTAGTCAGCACGCGAGACGCTCCTGTCCACCTCTCTTTGTTCCATACGAGCATGACTACCGCCTGGCCCTCGAGAGGAGTGAGAGTCGGTGATGGATCGAGGCAAAGAGCTCAATTCTACGCTGATCACGCATCCGTCGATCTGACCCGCGTGCATGTACGACTTTGCCATGCTCGCTTCTTCCGGCGTTCGGTAGACGATGTAAGCTTCGCCTTTGTTCTCTCCCGCTGCGAGGTGTGAGAATGCACGCTCCGTCAGCAATCGGCAGCAGGATGTTGTCTCTGTGCCCGACAGCATACCCTCGGTCCCTCTGCCCTCGAGACGCGTGACGCGGTGTCGAGCCACTCACACAGCTTGTACCGCGGCAATAGAACATGCTCGATGGATCCGTATTCTCCAAAGATATATTCGAGATGACGAGCATGCACAGCTTTGCTAAGTCCACCCACAGCCACGGTCCTCATCTCTTCCTGCTTCGCACCTCTCCCAGCCTGGTCTGGTCGTCGTGGACTGCGCTCAGCTGCACGTGCTCGTCGAGCTGGCGGTGAGCGCGATGCCGAAGTGGAGCGCGATCTTGATGAAGATGTTCGACCTCGACCTCGACTACTACTACGACTACGACTGCGACTACGAGATGTCGACATGCGCCTCGGGGTGGTTGCTCTGCCTCCGTTGCCGGAACTGTCCTCATCCATCCTTGCAGCGCTCCTGCTCCGGACACGACCGGTGCTCCGATTTGGACTGACGCTTCGGGGTGAATAGCTTCCGCTCTTGCTCTTGCTGCGACTCGCACTTCTTCCTCTCGAATCGCCTCTGCGTGACGGAGAAGCGACGCTCATCTTGATGCCCCTTGGGCTTGGTGACCTGTCCGTCGCAGAGGGGTGATTGTGTGCCTGGCCCCTGGGGCAGCGTGCTGCTTCGCACTGCGATCTCGAGGAGGTGAGAACAAGTCTTGAATCTCCAGAAGCTGGGTGTGCCTGGTCAATTTCAGAGAGTCACGAGTGTATCAGCGCTGTCCGTGGTGGTCGTGGTAGGAAATCCAACTAGAGATGGGCACCACCGCGGGCGGGCGGGGGTTCTTCTCGCGAACGCGGCCGCTCCACGGATCGATTGCAGCAGCATCATCGGCTTCTCTCGTGCGCCTTGTTCAAGAATCTTGAATTGCGTGCCGCTGAAGCATGACGTCACGTGACCCTCAAGTGTCAGTGCGCGTAGTTGAGTCCACCTCGCTGCGCGCGCTGCTGCTGCTGCTGCTGCTGCTGCTTGTGCACCCAAACATATGCTGTGAGAATGCAGCCAGATATTCCCTCGAGATCCCTCGGCTCTACATCGACCTGTCCAAGATCCCTCGCTCGCGCTCCCGCAACCCTCGAACCGATTCAGCATGTGCTTTTCCCGCTCTGCGCCGGGCGCTCCACCCATGGGCGGCTTTTGGTTGGAGGACTTGCGATGAACCCTCCTCTACTCCAATCAAAATGTCTTCCGCCTCTCGACAGCGCGCGCCTCCTGCATGACCGTATCTTAGTGTCGAATGAGATTGTTGTAGTACATTGGCAAAGATGAAAGTACAGACGAGTCAGAGCCAAATGAAGCTCACATATTCCCAGTCGACGGATCATTCGCAGCCGTCAAAAGCCCACGTGTAGCCTCTCGCAATAACCCGCGGCGACACCTTTATGGGCCATCACGAAGCGCCGTGACGGCCTGCGGCATTCCCTGTACCACCCTCCTGGGCAGAGCAGCGGTCGCTTATTTCACTCAACGTCCTCTCCTGATCCTGTTAGCGCAGGCGACAAAGTGTGTCAGCTGCAGCTCGGCTTGAGGTCGCGGGCGTAGGAAAAGGTCCTGCTCACCGTCGGATCAGTCAATACCAGAACGCCTAGCAGCTCTCGCGCACATCCGCTCATGCATGACACTTCTTCGTCGCTGATTGGAGGTTCTTTGGCGTCAGCCACACGGAGGTTGAGATCCTCAAAACGGAGGTCGTTGCGCCCTTGTAGAATGGCTGTCTCGTAGTGGCGCGCCATCATTTGACGGACCTGTCTTTGCGTTCGCAAGACGCACTCGTGCAGCAATCGGAGCGCCAACAGATCGAGCTGTGATGCGCCGTCTAGGTAATGCTCGACGAACTGCGAGATGCAAAGGTTGCGTAAGCTTAGCGAAGGACCACCAGAAATTTGGGCGCTTACTTGTCGAAATTGATCAGCATCTTCCCACGTGAGTGACTTGCGAGTCTGGTTGGTCAAGTGCTTATACAGATCTTTAAGTTTGCTTGCGCGCGTCGAAATCCAAACAAGAATGTAAATTAGCGACTCGACGACGTCGTCACAATAGCGATGCAGGCGAGTATATGCGTCCTTGTGGGCGCTTCGCCATCTTGCTTCTGATTCCAAGACTTGCTTGTCATAAATTGCTTTGCCAAATGTCGCCGATGCGGCTAATTGCTTGTCCTTTCGAAATGATTCCAAGCTCGTCCGATATGTGCTCAACTGAGTCTCGGCCATTTGCATGCCAGATGGTACGAAGAGTTGGTTGATAGACCGGGCATCATCTTGGATGATAGCGACTAGTTGATCATCATGCGCTCGTGTGATGTCGCCAGGACTCGTTTCGCGGACTTGTACGCCTCGACGGGGGTTAACACCTTCCCTCACGTTTCCGTGGTCTACCAAGACCAGGAGCGGCTTCGCTTTGGGGCCAGGCCTCATTAGGACGTTGCCAGTGTTGAGGTCGCGGTAGTGTAGCCCCTTTTGGGCATAATTATGCAGTCGATGTACGAGCTGCTGCAACACGGCCGCCTTGTCTGACAATGATGCAGTCAAGGGAATCTGATATCCGCGGTGCTGTGTAAAGACCAACACATATGCGCACAGCTCTGCTTTGTCCGCACGCCCGTCGGCTCCGCAGACTGGCTTGCCACTTGGCGCTGTCCATCCGAGGTCGAAGGAAGCAAGGGCACGAGGTGCACCGCTCACATCACCCAGCTTGTCCAGCATAGTTCTTTCGTGATGGGCCAGATGCTCTGACAGCCAGCAGCATTTCAAAAAGATGTGCTCACCATCGTGATCGTGTAGCGGAACCCCAAAGACGACGGTGCGAGAGCCGTGCAAAGACGGGCGCACGTTTACGACGCGAAGAGCATCGCTGGTGATGAGGTTCACATGATCCTGGTTGAGACCGTTGTTAGCTATGCCCGCTTCCCTCGCTGTTGCTTGTTCCTGTGCGACTTGCTGCGCTAGCAGAGCAAGTGCCTCGTCACACTTTGGCGTCCAGCGGGGCAGAAGGGTAGACTCGCCGGACATTAGGAGGTGTAGAAGCCGACCTAGATGGTCTAGCGATGTTTGGTCCTGCAAGGCAGCCGCAGCAGCATCGACCGCCCGTGAGAAGACTATTCCATTGGCTCCAAATTGCCAGATGCGAACTTTGCTGCCGGTCCAGGAGACGACATGCACATACCGCGCGAAGGGGTGCGCGATCAGGAGCTGACGCTAGATGGGTAGATGCGGAGCATGTGAGCGCTTGTTCGACGAGCAGAGCAGAGCAGCATGCGGCTCGGCCCGGCGCGGTGCGGCGGACTCACGGCGTATCTGAGCATCTGACCAACAGTTGATTCATTCAAATCGTCCCTCTCGTGCCGCTTGACCTCTACCACGGCCGCGTATTGCAACCACGGATGCTGCGCGGATGCACTGGGGCGGAAAGTCCCATCTCCAACGTCGGTCTGCGAATCGGTGAGGTCGACGCAGACGGAGGCCATAGCATCAGCGATGAGCACAATGTCTGGCATATTGTCCTCGCCATTGCTGGTCTGCGGGTATAGTGTGGCACAAGGAGGCAAATTGGTGAGTCAAAAGTGCAAAAATGCGCGTGCCAGAGTGACCTTTATACGCTGAGCAGGTGTGGTCCGAGGCCCCGCGCAGAGTTGCTGCTTATGCGCTGTGTTCGTGAATGCACCTCTCTTTGCGGTTACTGGTCTCTGCATGCCTGCCCTTCCGACTGATTGAACGCCTGGCCGACCTGACTCGACTCACGATCGTCTTTGTCTGTTGGTCCCTAGGCGTGATGGGATCAAAGTCGAGCGCTTGCCCTGTCAACGCAGTGCGAGTGCGCAGGGCTCTGTTCGTCCTGAGCACGCGCAGCTGACTAGCGTATGCGTTGAGAAGGACCAAGATTTGCTTGGTCAATGCGCTCTCCTTGCCCTTCTCGACCGCGACGACGTTACGCAGTTGGGTGAGGGCATCCTGCATCTCCTTGCTTCGCATACACTCGTCGCTCCACTGACGCATCCCCGCCACGTCTCCCTCCCCCTCTCCATCTCCTCGCTCTGATGCTGATGCTGCCGCACTCCATTCAAGCTCGAGGGATCTGCGATCAATTCGACGCTGCGACTCCTCCAGCAACTGCATGCCTACAGCTTTGGCTCTCCGGCTCAGTTCAGGCGACAGGCTAGCACTAGATCTCAAGATAGAGGTGGGGGCCGACACCGATGCCGATGCCGACGCCGATGCCGGAGCTGAGGGAGGCATGAGCGAAGACGAGGAGGCAGAAGACGATGATCTGGTCGCTTCGTACCCTCTGGGATCCCAAGCTTTGATCTTGGCCAAGGTGTCATCGTCGTGAAGTGCGTCAGGAGCGGCGTCCAAGGGAACAAAGCGCAACGAGGAGGATGCCATCCTGCATCCCGTCACTGAGTAGTGTATTCAGTGAGGAGTGAGGAGGGAGAGGGAGGAGAGCGCAACGAGGAGGATGCCATCTTGCGTACCGTCACTAGCGAGTCGGACAAGCAAGGAGTGAGGAGCGAGGAGTGAGGCAAGAGTCAAGAGTCAAGAGACAAGAGTGCGCTGCCGATGGGAAGCGTATATGCGCACATCCACCAGGCATGCATCCTCCACACCTTGCGTGCGCGCATGGAAACCGCGCACGAGCACGAGCACGCGCACGTTAGCGTCGATGCAGCCCTCATCGTTGCGCGCTGATGCTGAGGCTGCTTGTGCACGCGTAGCAGCATGTGCGATGCTGAATCTTCAGCAGGGTGGCTGCCTGCACCTCCCGCGCACCGACATGCACACCATCATCAGACGACACTCGAGACCTCCTCGGCTTTTCTCGACTCGCAACTCGCGACTCGCACGATCGACATTCACATTCCACTCGGCTCGGCAGATCGCCTTGATCGAGGACTGGATCCCGCACGCCTTCAGAGTCTCGCATCGACACGTCATATCAGCAGTCAGCAGTCTCCCGTGGCTCACGCTGTGCGCGTGCCTCCTCTGCACCCCGCCACTCGCCCTCGTCTGCTAGCTGGTCCACCTTTTGCTGGAGGCACACACGCAATCTCGGCGCTACTCATCATGTCCACATCCAGCACGTCTGTCGCCGAGCACGCTACTCGGCACGACGAGCAGATCGCGCATGCGCTTAGTGGAGAAGATGCGGCGCTACAGACAGTGACGCCTCAAGATGACGATCCTTTTGATTGGGAGAGCTACATGTGAGCTTTGGCGAATGCTGTCAGGGCACGTGCAAGCGACGTGTCATGCTGAGACGTTCTCATCACTTTCTGACATCCTCCATCGCGCAACAGATCGGCATACAAGGGTGAGATGTGGGGCCAAGACGCTCACAAGGACGCAGAAGCTAAAGTCGCAATCTTGCCCTCATCCTGTCTATCCACCGCTCATCATCGCCTCCGCCGTGCACGCAGGGCAAACGCAAATCGCCCGGCTGTTGCACCTCGCCGAGAGGTCTCCAGCTCTGCGTCTCGTATGCTCTCAAGCAGCCATCGCGCTTCTGCGTCAAGGTCAAGACACGAAGCAGTACCTGTATGCGTTCCGAATACGCGATTCAGCTGGTCCAGCATCTGGCGCTGAACAGCTGCAAAGGCCAAACCACGCTTGGGTGCAACAGGCCGATCTAGAGAATGAGAAGGAGCTGGAGAAGCTGGATATCGAGCTGAGAGGGTATCAGAACAACATGATCAAGGAGAGCATTCGTGTGAGTTGGGAAAGTTCTCCTGACGTCGCTCTCATTTCGGCGTGCGTATGCTCCTCGGTCTTACGCGCGCCCGCTCCTCGTGCTCCCTCATCAAGATGGGCCATCGTGATCTGGCAGAACACTTTAGAGCGACAGGCAGGATGAGCGAAGCACTTCAATGCTACCAAAAGACGAGGGAATTCTGCTCCACCAGCGAACACGTTGTAGAGATGTGTTTGGGTGTGATCGAGGTGCGTCGCAGGCGTGCCTAGATGACGACAAAGTCTCATCATTCCCAACTCTCTCCTTTAGATCTCGCTGGAGCTGCAAAACTACACGAACGTCTCCACCTGGGTCTCCAAAGCTGAAGGTGTGCTGGAGACGTACAATCCCAATGCCGCGGCCGCTTCTTCCTCTGCTCGCAAGACGAGTGGTGCAGGTGCTTCTTTGTCGTCCGCCAGCGGTGCATCTAAGGGAGGTCTAGGGTCAGGTGGAGATGCTATCGGCGCGCTCTTTCGCTCCGGCGGCTCTTCGACGAGAGAAGAAATGGCTCGTGCTTCTACGTCCGCAACGAGCGCTGCGGCTCGAAGAGACCAAGCTACAGCTGATAGAGGAGTCAAGGATCTCGCAGCTAGGCTGTCCATCACCGCTGCGCTTGCCCAGCTGGGGATGGGCAACTTTGAGAAAGCGGCTAGAATCTGGCTCGGATTGCCTGGCGATGTCGCTTCGACTCGGTTGGCTGCAACTTATGCGCATGTAAGAGCACGAGTGGGGGGTTTCAAGTCACACTGCGGATGCTGACGGAGCGTTGGCACCCCACCCAAATTTGTGGCTGCAGATCATGTCTCCTGCCGACATTGCGCTCTACACTGTTCTCTCTGCCCTCGCTACCTTTGATCGAAGGAGGTTAAAGAGCGCGCTCGTGGATAGTGCAGCATTTGCAGCCTTTTTGGAGCATTCACCTCACTCTAGAGCTATTCTAGAGGCCTTTTACGCTTGCGACTACAATGGGGGCTTGCACCTTTTACAAAAGTGGAGGGTGAGTGCGCCCGTGCTGGTGTCGACGTCTCGACGTCGAATGGGGTTCCAGCAAGCGAGTGCCTTGCAGAGTGTGCTGATGCGTTTCCTCGATGTCTCGACAGACTCGGCACCATCTGGACATTCACCTTGGACCCCATGTCCCAACGCTCAAGATGATGCTGATCACTCGCATGATGCAGCAATTTCTGCATTCGTTCGACAGCGTAAGCGTCTCGCGCGTGGGCGACGCTTTCGGCTGGACGGAAGCCCAAACGCTTCCGGAGCTGATTGGGTTGGTGCAGAGGGGAGAGGTTCAAGGAAGATTGGACTTGACGCGAGGTGTGATGGAATTAAAGAGGAGGGACAAGAGGCAAGAGTTGTTTGATGATGCGATCAGGATTGGGGAGAAGAGGATCACCGCTGCTAAACGGCTGCTTTTGAGATTGGAGATGATTGAGAATGGGTGAGTTTTTCAGGGTCGCGGGCGAAGCACTACTACCGATGCGGCATGCCTGCACACTGCGCTCACACCCGAGTCGCCGCGTGCGCCCCTTCCAGACTCATCGTCAGAGGCACTGGACCGACCGTGCCTCGAGGCGCCTGATCGAGCAGCGAGCACGCACGCACGCACGCGTGCAAGGCTCCGATTCCACATGCTCCTCCTTCACCTAGCTGCTTTCGACTTTGACAAGCGTCCTCATCACCACAACATGGGTTTCGTGCGCTTCGTGGCAACTGCCCACGCCCCCTCGCGAAGTAGATTCGTCAATGACATGCATGTCGACTCAACTCCCAAGTAAGGCGGCGAGCGAGCGCGACGGGTCACGCGTGCATGCATGAGGAATCAAGATATAAACAAATACAAAAAGGGCAGGTCGGGGGGGGGGGGGGGGGGGGGGGGGGGGGGGGATTGCGTTTTAGCGAGCGGGTTCGTGCGGCCAAGAGAAGGTAAAGAGATGCTGTGCAGAGGGGGATTGCGCTTGGTTGATATTGACTCCGCTAAGCAGCTCGAGACTATCGTGGCACAGTAAAGGTGGCGCGAGCTTGTCAGTTGCACCTGCAGGTGCAACTGGATTCATGAATCTAAAAGAGGTCGGAAGCTGATGGTCTCCATCGAAGTGCGACCGTTGCGTCGACAAAGAATGATGCTGTGGAACGCGGAAGCGGGTGCAATAGTATGAGCCCTCGCCTCGTCGCACGCTTCAATCACCATCCACTTCCCAACTCAAAAACTCACCAACAATCGTTCCTGAATGTCATTTTCCAAATCGCTTCGGCAGGCTCTACCATCTCTCTGATGTATTGGCCTGTAGCAAAGTCCCAGAGTTTTACGCGCCCATCGTTTCCTCCCGTAACGATGAAGCGGTCGTTGAACTGCAAGCAAGTGACGGAATTGTCGTGCGCGCACAAGCGGGCTTTGGTGGTGAATGTGTCCAAGCAAAAGACGATCACTCGACCATCCGAACCGCCGGTGATCAGCGTAGAGTCTGTCAATTGCAGCTGTCCCACCAACGAAGTGTGGCCTTGCAGGACGCAAAGGCACTCGCTGGCAGAGTGCGGGCCAGAAGATGATGCGCGTCAGACGATGCACATCGAAAATGCGGCACGCGCGACGACGACTCACCCGGTCGAAGCGCTCCAAATGCGCACCGTCGAGTCCAAACTCCCGGTAGCCACTCTGACACCATCAAATGCGATGGCGTAGATCTGGTGGAAATGTCCCCTCAGGACATTGATGCACTCTCCCGTATCGACGTCCCAGATTCTGCACATGCAGTCATAACTTCCGCTAGCTATCCTATTGCCAGCCACTTCGACGCAGCGCACCGAATGCTGGTGTCCCGACAATTGGTGCACCAGCTTGCCGGTTTGGATGTTCCAGACGCGCACTGTGCTATCTCTAGAGCCCGATACAGCGAGTGGACGACCTTCTATCACCTTCAAACATCTGACCGTGGAGCCGTGGCCAGACATGATGTGTTCGCAGACCCTGATATTGGCATGAATGCAATCAGCACGACGTCGCAAGCCAAGTCCTTTCAATCCAAGCGCACTCACCCAGTCCTCAAATTCCACACGCGAACGTCCCGGTCGCAACCGCCAGTCACGACGAGCGCATCCCTGTTGCCGTAGCCCTTGACGCTTCCGCACGGATTCGCATTGCTGAAGGGCCTTCCGCCCCCGCTCGCGCGATGTGTTCCACCAGAAGGTGCAAAGAAGCCAGCGGCGCCCATCGGAGACCTGCTGTTGGCCCAAGCCGAGGGAGCATCTCCAGCGTCCGAGTCGCCAAAGAAGCTCGAGTGGGAAGCGTTCAGCTGATCGGTAATGTGCGTCGGGATGCCACCACTTGCGCCAGACGATGCAGTCATGACAGCATCTCTGACATTGCCGGCATCAGCTTCCGCTTCTGCTTGCGCTCGTGCAAAGTCTCGAGCTGATCCAGTTGCTGCGTTGAGCGAAGCGGCAGCTGCAGGCGCTGAGATGGGTCCACCTCGCAGTGACGATGAAGCAGCGCTAGCATTCGCACCGTCGCCAGCCACAGCTCCGGAATTGAGATTGGAGCTGCTCGTAGCTTTGCGCAGCATCGCCCGCCTAGCTCTGTGAAACCATTCCAGCGTCTCATCCTCGCCAGAAGCAGAATCGTTAGACGAGACGGTGTACAAACCACTGCTGCTCTGCGTTCGGCTCGGCACAGCCTTGGCAGCGCTAGATCTCGAGATAAGCGAGGGAGCTCGAAGGGGAGCGTCGCTTGTGGAGCTCCAAGTCGATCTTGCCGACGCGTCAAGGTTTCCGCCGTACATCAGCGCCTCGTCGTCGTATGCAGATGCGCTTGGTCGAAGATCGTGCTCTACGAGCTCGAGATCGCCTCCGCTCGCAGCACCAGCATCTGCTCGCGCTAATTTAGCCGCGTCTTGCTTTCCCTTGCCGTTGCCTCCACCCAGCCGAGCTTGACTGCCTCCCGTGCTCGAGACCAGCGTAAGGGCCCACACACCAGTCTCGTGGCCTATCAACGTCCGCGCGTAAAGGCCTGTCTGCGCGTCGAAGACGTGAATCTTGGCATTCGCCATACCCACCACGATCCATTCCTTGTCGACGGCCAGGGATGTGACCACTGCACCGCCTTCCGTAGAAGTGTACCGAGTGAGCAAACGCCCACCTTTACGCCAGTTGGACTCTGCGATGGTCAGGAGCGTTCAAAGGATTAGCCTACCGGCAGCCGCTGGCAATTTGATGCAAACTCACCCGTCAAGTAAGCCAGCTTGAAGTGCGTCTTGTAGCTAAAAGGCGTGCTGCGCGACTGAGCTTCCGGCAAGCCTTCCGCATATGTGGCCGCTCGATTAGACTTTGCATTTGACCCGGACATCCAAGAAGGTCTTCCGAGCGCAAAGCTCGGCGTCGCTCCCTTGGCGGAGGAGGAAGCTGCATTTTGGAAGACGTCGGATGCAGATGCCGCATGAGCTTGACCAGGAGCGCTGCGCCTCTTCATCCGCTTGCCTTGCGCATCTCCCGATCGCCTTCGCGGCGCAGAGGTGGTCGTGTTCGATGGCGATGCATGCAAGGGGTCGCGATCGCGGCGTGCTGATGAGCGAGCAACGTGAGCAGCGACGCTTGCCTCTTCCGTACTGTCGCTCATCTCGACATCTCCCTCTCCATAGCCATCGGCAGGTCTGTGCGCTGACTCGGGGGGCGCAGTCCCATATTCGCCGACCTGTGGCAAGCTTGCCCGATCCCTAGCTGGACTGGTGAGAGCTCCAAGACCAGCAGTCACTGCGGAGCCTTCTCTAGGTGTCCTCGACGCTGGCCAAGAGGGCAGCATCCTAGAGCCCGGCAGATTTGCAAAAGAGCCAGCGCTGAGCCAGCCCCAATTGCCTGGCGCGGTCGCATTTCCGGCTTCGGGCGTTCGACTACTCGTCTCGCCGAGTGCCCGCGACGAATCGGACGATGGACCTGCATGTAGAGACCTTGGCTGTTCGTACGCGTCATCATCCGCACCATCGACCACTTCCTCTCCGTAGCGCTCGCGAGATTCTTCAGCTACAATCTCTTCCAGTTGACGATAAAACATTCTGTCCGCTTCGCTCATGTCTAGGCTGCCTCTTCCAGCTTTCGCCAGTCCCACACCGAGGGCGTCTGAGCTCGAGTTGGTGCCGCCGGCGATACTTCCATCTGCCTGCTTGGCGAGGAAGAGATCGTGAAGGGTTCGTAGCTCGTGAAGAGCGTTGGACGGATCCAAACCACGAGCTCGATAGCGCTCGTAGAGGGAAGAGAGGATTTGGCCGTCATCGAGATGTTCGTCCTCTTCCTCCATTACTGCGTCTTCCTCCACCACATCCTCGTCGCTAAAGCTAGCTCGGGACATGCCGCGAGGGTATCCAAGTCTGGAAGCACTGGCAGCAGGATATAGAGGCGACAGACTAAAGGCAGGTTGGTGGTGCAAAAAGGGAGCGCTTTGACTTGCAGACATGCTAGTCCTTCGGAGCCTGAACGCGTATTTGGAGCACATTGCCTTCCACGTATGTTCATCATTGACCAAGCTGCGCCAGAATCTGCTGACGGCGCTCGCTCTGGCCAACGTTCTTGGGTCATCGATGAATCCTAGCACGTGCAGACTGAGCTCGATGGGCAGGGCACCCAGAAAATCCACCTTGAGTCGAGGTGAGATGTCGGATTGAAGCTGAGCCAACTCTCTCAAAGAGCAGAGCGCCAGTAGCTCGCTGAGGACCTGCAACCTGTCGCTGCTGATGAGAGAGGGGAAGATGAGCGAAATGTACTTGCGAAGTGTCGCTCCATCTGTGGGTAGGGCGGAGATCAGAGCTGCGCTGGCTGAGGAAGCTGAGGAAGTGGCCAGACGAGACAGGCCAGAAGGTTGAGGTGAGGGTGCGGGGGTAGGGGGCGAGATGGTGTGAGGGTGTCCGCCTGTCGGTGCACCTGGCTCGCCACCTACGAGCGGGGGTGATGCTGGCGCTGACATCACGACTCCTGCGACCAAGACGACGCGAGAGTACAAGTGTGTGTGCGGCGTTTGGAAAGGTGGAATGCGGCCCTTTGCCAGCGACTCGTGTGTTGGTTGCGTGTGTGCTGGAGGAGGAGGAGGATCGACTGGTCCGCTGCCGGCTCAGTCACGCGGCAGCGATGCGATGAGGAAGCGAGGTCGCACAAGCTTGTGTACGTAAGCTAAGATGAAGAGGTGGTGGTGCGAGCACTTGCACTTGCACTCGCACACACGGAGCGTGGAGATGATGGGCGTGTTGGCAGCATTCACGATTGTATAGCGTTGCCGCGCGCCTCTCACAACAGTCACGAGTTCGAAACCTCATTCACGATTGCCGCTCCGATGGTGCGTACAGTGCGAGTCAAGAGTGGTGAGTGCTTGTTGTGTGGCGCGCGCGTGGGATCAAGCGCGCATGCAGCAGCAGCAGCAGCAGCAGCGATCACGATCACCAAGGGAAGCAGCGCCCGCCCGCCCGCACGCCCGCCCGCACGCACGCGCATGAACCGAGCCTGTACGGTAGGTATAGCTGCAGCGAGCAGCCTTGGGTCGAATTCCATGCAAGGGCCCCCTCCTCCTCCTCACCACCCGCGTGACTCAAGACTCTGACTCACCACTGCTAGCTGCGTTGCGGGTGCACGAGGCAAGCCACACGCTTTGCGCGACGCACATGTAATCACGAAAAAAGAAATGGAGACGAGGAGCTCGATCGGTATGTGAGATTGCATTCACGATTCGAGCGCCAGTCATGTTGTGCGAGCCCTGGAAAGACATGCAGACAAAGGTCGAGAGCCTTTGTTTCGTCACCACAAGACGCGCGAGAAAACAGGTTGCATGTAAGACATGTAAGCCAGCTTCTCGTCGAATCCGAGTAATACGCTTGCTAGGCTTCTGTCGCAGTTTCGGTAGGAGCTTGACAAGCTTCCAATCGCTGCGCGACCGCTTCTGCCGTCTTTAAAAGTCGCGCGCGCACGTTCAGCGCCGTGTTGCGGTCGTCAGCGGTCGTCAATTCTCAGCGCATACATGTCGCTTCGACAATTACACCGCACCGCACCGCACCGCGTCGCACGGCGAACTCACACTTGACAATAGACGTCCCAGCTCCGCTTCGGCTTCCGCAATTTGACCCGCTTTGGATCTGTTGGTGTGCAAGAATTGTGACTTGACGGATAGCAAGCCTCTTCTCTCCTCTTCCAACCTGAAACCAGGTAGGCGGTACGTGAAAGGAGCAGCGACTCGGCATTGAGCTACCAGATCTCGGAGCATCAGCATACATGCTACTCACTGTTGCCTTTCGATCAGCTCATACTCCAATCTCGCCAGCATCAAGCTGTGCGGGTCTGACAAGATCTGCTCCGTCCGGAGCTCTTCGGGCGCCACAGCTTGAAATTCTGACAAATCTCTGAGCTCAATATCCTGAAAGACGGATCTGGAGGAGCGAGTGCAGAGGCACCGAGGCATGGTCAGCGAAACAGGCGCATACATGCACATCGCGTCCCGACGTATTTGCACCACTCACACAAACTCTTTACACCTCCTAATCTCTCCCTCCAATTGGCTCCTCTCATACTCCAAGTTTTGCAATCTCAACCTAGATTCGTCCACCTCTGCTCTCCTCTCGGCCACCTTGCCTTTGGATCTCTTATTGTCCTCCGCAACCCTTCTGCCCAAGGCTCTGAGTTGGGCCAAGATGGGTGTGAGAGAAGCGAGATAAGTTGTTGCTTCTTCAGCTGACGGCTTGACGGGAAGCACAGCCACCAGCTCTAGAATGGCCGAAGAAAGCGCGTTGGCCTGTGCACACGTGGCCGACGATTCCGAGAGTGAGCTTGCACCCGCGTCGCAGCCTCGCAAGGGCTACGGACTCACGTCAACTTCGACCTGCTGCGGCGATGGCGACTTTGAGGAGGAAGCTTCGGCGGATGCAACGGTCATGTCGTCACTGTACGGGGATGCTGGCGCTACGGCTTCGAGAGGCACGCTGAGAAGCTCGCAAAGGAGCGAAGCGAGGGTGCAAGCGGGGGAAGGCTGAAATGCAAGGCCAGGTAGATGGCAATGTATGTCCACTTGGGTCGAGGTGCAAGTCAGAATTAATCGAGTCGGTGCCAGAGGATGCAAGGTCGTGAGTCAAGAGTCAGAGTGAATGATTCGTGTGCGAGACCAGCTATACCCCCACCCGTATGATCATGAATCCACATTCAAGATTGAAATCACGATCGAATCGCATCTCAAATCCGCGCGAGCGGCGCCATCTCGCACGGTAGAAGGCAGACAGGCAGGCGCGTCCAAGCGTTGCTTCGCGCGCGTCTGATGGCGCGTAGAGTGTGAGTGAGGTGCGGCGATCTGCAGCAACAACCAACCACCAGCTGCTGCACGCCGCGAGTGGAGTGTTGGACTCCTCACACTCACACTCACACTCACGACTTCCACGGACAACGTCTCGCTAGCATCGCCTCAAGGTCAAGCTTTACAGATCGTCCAAACGTGTCAACCAGCCCAGACTTCTAGCACCTCGACCCCGCACGCAGCAGCCCTTCGATGGGCGGAGCGCATACAAGCCGGTAGAAGCGCGCCTCCGCGTCGCTTCCTTCGATTACCATCACCCACGGCAGGGTTCATAGCATGTCGTCGCCGAAGCGTCGTCGGACATCCACGCGGCTCTCTGAGCAGCAAGCTGAACCGCTCGCACCTATCACGATTCCCAGCACCTCTCGCATCAGCACGGGATCAGATGAGAGCTCGGCCAAGCATAGGAATGGTCGTGCTGAGCGCGATGCGCGTGCCAGAGGGAGCGCGCATTCCTGCGATGCAGCTCCACCCACACGTACTCTTCGAAGACGCGATGCCAATTCCGGCAAAACGCCATCTGCTCGTCCACAGCTACTCGGTTCTGCCAAGGGTAAGGCCAGGGAAGAGCAAAAGAGGCAGAAGGACATAGAAGCATTCGATGCTATGCGGCAAGCTGACCAACTCATCATGGCCACGAGTACCGACGGACGCGCGCGCAGACGAGCATCTCGAAGCGCGGCGCAGGACGGCAATCCGCCTGGCAAGGATACGAATGAAGAGGATCAAAGCCGTGCTGAAGCAAGCAGCGACGTGGAAAGGATCTCCGAAGATTCCACAAGACGTGCCAACCCTCGCATCTTGGCGCCGAGCTCGAGCCCACTGGAGGATGGAGCACACGTAACGCCGAACGGAGTCGCTCGTGGGTCAGCGGGAGCTTTCGAAGAAAACGAGAGACTGTCGAAGGTCTCGCATGGAACGCTGGACTCGCCGCCTCAGAAGGAGAGTCGACCCAGCCGTGCACAACACGCAGCAGAAATCGGTGCTTCCCAGGCTCGTGGAGACGCAGATGACAAAAGGCTCCATGTCTGTGCCGGCCAAGACGACGCCTGTCCGCTTTCGCTACAAGTAGAGGGTACTGCATCTGTGCCGGCCCATCACGAACGTCCAATACCTGGCTCACATCCCATGCCAACATCCAAATCGCCAACGCCGGCGTGTGAACGAGAGGAGGCTGTCAGATTGGATGCCAAGCTCGAACAGACGCAGATCACAGCTCACGATGAGGACAGTCCAGCATTATACACTGTGCGCGCTAGTGATGCTGGGTCGGGCGTGGCTGTAGAGGACCCCAACAACGCTTTTGTGACCACTGTGTTGCAAGAGCGCCTTTCTCCCACCACAACCACAAGATCCGCTCCCATAGATGGCGGGTCGCGTGATATGTGTGAGCTGCAGACACACAGTAGTCAGTGGCGCGATGGGCCACTTGCCGCTTACCAACCAGGGCCTTTACATTGCACCGTCGACGCGGCAGACTCGTTGAAGCCGTTCAGCAACTCACCAACGCTGGCCTTCAAAGCCCCTATTGAGCCCATTGTGGCACCATCGAGCTCGAGAGAGCCTTTTAGTACGGCCTTGAACGATCCCGCGCCGCCGGCGCAAGGAATCGGCGTTTTCTCCAGCCCTGGTCAACAGCGGGGCATTGTTGCCATGGATAATCTAACTAACATGCACTCCAATCTATTGGATGGCCTGGACAGCGAAGATTTCGACGATGTGCAGCTGAGCCCTGAAGGCTCTACCAAGCGAATGTGCTCGCCACATCCTGTGATCGACAGTCAGACTCGCAGTCAACTGGCACCGGATGCTTCTCCTGCCGTCGTCGCTCGCGCTTTCAAGCGAGCTCGCAGCGCTAGATCGACGAGTGCTGCGAAGCCTCCTGGGGAGCTGCAGCATGCACCGGCTAGTAAAGCGAAGCAGTCCTTTGGCGATTCGGACGACGAGTTCAGTCTGGATCCGGACTTGTTTGCTGACCTCGAAGGCGTCGATTTCGACTTTGATGCCGAAATTCTTGACGGTGATCCAGGTGAAGCTGCGAGTTCCAAGTTGAAGCGGGACGGTGGACCCAACTATGGCTTCACTACCTCAGTGGTGGGCGGCGGATTTTCGACTGGGCGCGGCAAAGCTTTTGCGATGCCGAGCGCCGCTGTACTTGAGGCAGCCAGAGCGCGCTTTCTTGACATGGATGACGACGACTTCAAAGCAGGAGTCGCAACGACAACGACCACTTCGCTTGCGGCTCGGTCCAAGCCCGCACCGCCTGCTGCCGCCCTCGCTACCCCGTCCCGGCCCAGGATGCCCTTAGCTGAGACGACGAACGAAAACATGCCTTTCCAACATGCCGCTCTGACAAGCACCGAGAAGGAGTATGTGACTCCAGCCAAGCCGAAGATGGGGTCGCGCACCGCAAGCACCGATGGGGCCTCTCCAGCGCCACAGGCTGTCGGCCGGACGGAGCATGTGGCTGGCAACAATCTAGGCTTTTCAATACCCCGATCTGGGTCCACGCCGAGGCCGACACCTCAAAATCGGCCTGCCTCTACCTCTGCCTTGCCCTTTCCATTCAGTGCGCCTTCCTCCGCCACCCGTATAGCGCTCGGAATTACGCCTCGCACCTCTCTTGGTCGAAATCCAGCCGGACGTCCAAAATTTCAGTCTCCTTTCAAAAGACCACCTGGTCAAGCCACTTCGGCCTCTGCTTCAAAGTTGGCCACCTCGAGCTCAAGAGTCGGCTTGTCCGCTGCCTCTGCCTCTCCGAGCGTCCAAAGAAGCAGGCCGGACGGGTTGTTCGACATACCGATAGCGTACGCGAGACCTAGCGGTACCGTTGTGGGTCACGAGTACGCGGTCTCGAGCAAAACGAAGCGGCCTGCAAAAGGCGAGGCCCTTTTCGACCTCTCCACTCACTCGGCGAAGCGTCAAAGCATGCAGCAGAGGGGAATCAAGCCGGAGAGCACCAGCGCAAAGAAGATACGACAAATGTTTGACGAGGTACCGGTGATTCTTGATCAACCTGCACGGGGCATCGAGTTTGAGTTTGACATGCCAGACGGCTCAAGCTTTGGTCCTCAGCAAGCTCTCGATGCTTTGCATCAAAGGCGTGCGGTTCATGTCGACCTAGAGTGGGTCAAGAACCACTGGTTGCTCATATTGTGGAAGATGGCCGCCATTACGCGCCACGAGCCTGATCGTCATGAAAGCATGTTCACCGGCAAAGAGATGCTAAATCAGCTCTCGTATCGGTGAGCGGAACGTGTTGTGCGGGTCCGGTGCCGTGCTCATGTCGGATCCTTTTGCGTCCAGATACGAGCGTGAAGTCAATCTGGCTCAACGCTCGGCAGTCAAACGCATACAGGAACAAGATTCCGCGTCGGGTCGTCCCATGATTCTCTGCGTCTGGTCGATTGCAAAGGATTTGGAGGCGGATGAGGCTCCTTTTCTGGAACTCACCGATGGCTGGTATCGCATTCGAGCAACGATCGATGAGCCGATGCGCCGAGCTGTGCTCAGAGGCCTCATCAAAGTAGGAGTGAAGTTGTCCATCTCTGGTGCAAGGGTGAGTTGCGCTGCCTTGCCAAGGCTGGACGAGGTGCTTGTCCGACGTGCTCTGACGTCAAAAAAACGCCTATCCAGCGCGATGGCTCTCCAGAGCCGGTGGAAGTGCTCAAAGGTTTAAATATCTCCTCGCTCACCCTCAATTCAAACGGCACCGCCTTGGCCCGCTGGGATGCGCGTTTGGGTTTCGTTGGGAAACCATTCGTCGCGACTTTGCGGAGTCTCAATGCGCGAGGGGGTGTCGTGCCTCGCATGGAAATTATCGTAACGCGCCTATTTCCTATCGGCTACATCGACTCTGCCGATAGAGGTGGAGGCGATGCTGGTCAAGCCATCACCATGACCAATGTGCGCAGCGAGGCGGAAGAAGAGGAGCAGAGACAGGCTTGGATGCAAAAGCTGGCAGATGCCAGGACTCGTCTCGAAGACGAAGCTCAGGCCAGACTCGATGACTTGGCTTCTTTGGGCAGCGCTCTGCACGAGCTGGCTCACGAGGCGAGTTATGATGCACAAATTTCCCACTCGAGTAAGTCCGCGAATGTGAAGAGCGCCACCAACAAAGCGCCAACACAGCTCAGCCGCGCCTCCTGCTCTTCCATTGTATTGTGCTGCCGCAGTACCTAGCGATGAGCTCGAAGATTATTTTGAGCAGCTCTGCAGCGCCAAGCTTCACATTGGACACGTGCCAAAGAGCGTGCTCAGCGCTCTAGCTGAGCTCGCGGCAAATCGTCTTGAAGATCTGAAAAGACAGGCACAAGTCGAATTGGAGACTCGGTTGGCACGAATCTGCCCCCCTCGCCGCTCGAGGAGCTTTAGGATCATCAGATTCAGAGATGCGGGAGCAGAGCCTGTCGATCGACCCGACGTTTGGAAGGGACGCAGACCTCGGAGCAAGAGGGGAGTGCAGCTGACAGTCTGGGATGTGGAGCAGCTCAACGAGCTCGGATTGGAGCTCGGCAAGCGATACTGCGTGAGTTCTTTTGTTTTTGTTTTTTTTTTCTTGAGCGCGAATTAGAAACGTGTGACTCGAAGCGTGCTGATTTGCGCCCCCTCCTTCCCACCCCTCCTTCCCCCATTGTTTGCGCGCCCCCCTGCTGTGCAAAAGGTTACGAACCTCGTGCCTACCCAGAAACACGCTTGGCGCGGACCTGACGATGATGCCGATGCGTTCTTGGCAACTCGGCGAGAGACTAGGTGGCAGAAGATGGAAGATATGACGCCGCGTCACTCATAGATCCACGTGTGCCGTTTCCCCCCCCCCCCCCCCCCCCCCATTCTCCTTGACAAAGTCGCCCGGCGCCGGCGATGGCCGGCATTAAGACCCCCTTGCCCTAAAGTACCTACTTGAGCGAATAATCAGCACAGGCAAGGACGAGATGTTTGCGCGCGCACGTACATCGCACGCATCGAACGTTGCATCACACGCCAATCTTGAATGCAGTCGGGAGATGCTCGCGTGCTGATGAGATGCATTGCGTTTTGCTCTTTGATGGTTGTGTAGATTTCAAGATCATTTTGTTCTTTATGCGTGTTGAAGTGGACTTGCAGCTGCGGCGCGAATGCAGCTGCGCCCTTATTTTGACGAGTTTGCGTAGAGTGAGGGGTGGGGTTTTGGGCAAACACTTTGTAAAAAAAAAATGGATGCAGGGGGCGCGGAGAGTGTGGAGCTTCGAGGCAAAGCGAAGGAAGGTCTAGTCGTCGCCAGTAGGGTCTCCGAGCTCAAAGATGCCTACCAAAGGAGGAAATCGTAAGCGTTTGCTCCGGCGGGGGGCAGGATGTTTGCGACGATGAGCAAACATCTGCCAAACTCACCTCTGTGCAACCTTCTAGCGTCCGCAGACGCATCCTCCACTGCTTTGATCATGGCCGGTCTGGACTTCCAGTAGGCCAGCTTCTTGTCTGGCAATGCCCAGCCTTCTCGGACCAGATCAGCATTGATGCAAGCTTCCGGACTGGTCGTCGCGCTCTCCGGATCATACAGCTGCAAAGCAAAAAAGTTCGAGTCGGGCTCGCATGAGCACGAGAGCTCTGCCCAGCCAATACGATCCTTTTGGGGAGGAGGGCAAACGAGACTCACTGTAAGGTGCAAAGAAGCATTATTGCCCGTCTCTCTCACGTCGATGTTAGCGATCAACTTTCTTCCTTCGTACTCTCTGAACCTATCGAGCGCCTCGAGGGCATACTCGTCCACCTCTGCGCTCTTTCCGATAGCCTGAGCACCTTCGAACAATTTCACAAAGCTCAATCTCGCATTCTGCGCCATGGGTGCCAATTTGGCCTTGCCGTACTTTGCAGCATCGAGCGGTCGAAGGTCGGCAAAAGGTACCAGATCCAGCGATCCGTAGTCTATCATGACCGTCTCTGCATTCTTGGCTGCCGGATGCGCACGAAGCACTTGCGCGCGATACCACGCCCCATCGCCCGAAAACTTGGCTAGCACCAGTTCGCCCGAGCGCGGTGCGAAGGCAGCAGGCGCAGGAGCTGGAGCAGCGGCGTTCAGCGCCCTCTGCATGCTCTCCAGTGCCGGAATGTTGCTGTCCAGCACTTGCACCGAAAAAGCAAAGGGCTGCGATTTGCCCGCGTCTCCCCGAACATCCGAGATGACCACATCCACGTACTCGTCTCGAGCCGTCGTGACACTCGGAACGGGTGCCGCAGCAGCTCCTCCCCAACCTTTGAAAGAGCCAGCAGAGGACGAGGTGGGGGTGGGTGCGGAGCCATGGACTCCATTGGTGCTTGCAGAGGCGCCTTCTTCCGCCTCTCCAGTCCAGTCTTTCCACAGTCCCAGCTTGCTCGCTTTTGCCCTCTTCTCAGCTTCGAACAGTTGCGGGCCGTAAGGCAAATTCTCTGCAGAATAAGCGTGCACGCTAGCCAGTCCCTGCTGGACGAGCAGAACGGCGAGATTGTCGGTCTTGTTGAGGTACAGCGCTCCGATAAAGCCTCCAGCCTTGTCGATGCTGTCCACTGACACCTCCACATCCCTCTGATTGGCTAGCTTAGTGCTCAAGTCGTAGGCCTCTCGTCCAAAAGCTTCGTCCTTCTCACTAGGTCCTCTAGCCGTTCGCGGCGCCTTGATGCCAGCTAGCACCAGAACGATGCGCGCTCCTTCTCTAGGCACGAGCACCCTGAATCTCGATGCGCTAGCCACAAAGTCCACGATCGCGTTCAGTCTGGCTCCCCTCTTTAGCGCCAGGAGGTAGCTGTTGGCCTTGCCAGCATTTTCCGACGCATCGACGTACTTTGGAGCTTCGGTCTTCTTGCCCGAGTGCATGCCCTTCTTTTCCGCAACGGCGACAGACTCCGCCAAGACCAGCTTGTCAAACTCTGGGGATCGCTGCTCGTCGTCCCTGCGGTGCCTCATCACGGTGGCCAATCCTCGCTGGATCAGCAGCTCGCCGACGGATGCGCCTTTCGTCTCTTTGCTTCCCGTCGTCGTAAGGATGGTGGCGCAGCGACGCTCCTCATTTTGACCGTCTCCCCTCTTGATGTAGTCGATTTGGACTCTGACGGGCTTTCCGATGAGACGCTTTCGAAGAAACTCGCGCGCCTCGTGCGCGTAGCCCGCCTGCGCCTCATCTTTAGGCTGAGGCTGGCGAATGGACGATAGGTAGATGCGTTCCTCTTGCGCATTGGCATCGTCGCGCTTGACATGGACCGTATCTCCGCTGACGATGCGCGTCACGACGGCGTCAAAGTTGCGCGGGAGCGTCGCAGCCGAAGGGTTGGAAGATGCAGAAGCTGCGTGACCTGCGCCTGCACCATTCGTTTGGCTCGAAGCTGGCTGCCAATTCTTCCACATTCCCGCTCTCTTCTCCTTGGCTGAACGTTCGGCGTTTCTGTACCCTTCGATGCGTCCTTGCAGCATGCCGCTGTGCCAATCCACCACCCTGGCCAGACCAGCGGAGAGCAAGAATTGCGCAATGTCTCCGACTGGATGTAGCGCTGTACCGATGAGCACCGTTGCGGTCTGCAGCTGAGCTGGAGCGCTGGAAGAGGTGGCGGCAAAAGGTGTGGGTGCGGTGGGTGCAGGCATGCTGAGTAGCTGAATCTTGACGTTGCGCTGCATCAAGCGCGACTCGACAAAGAACTTGGATTCCTCGCCAAAAGGTTCGCTGGGATCGTTGTTGGAAGCTGGTCCACCGCCTCCGGTGACGCGAGGAGCTTTGACGCCAGCCAAGCTCAGATTGATGATCTGATGATGACGCGCACCCAAAAAGAGTCTCACGCGGATCATGCTGCCATCCCTCACCTGCTCCACCACGCTATCGATCTCCTTGCCCTTCCACTCTGCCAAAAAGCTCGCGCTGTCCACCGGCATGTTGTAGTCCACGCGCAAGAGGTCGTCCGGTCCCCACAGCCCATTCGCGTTGGCTTGAGCCTCTTCTTGCACTTTGCGCTGGATGGACTTCCAGCCTCCCTCCTCCTCCTCTTCGGGCGTAGAGCTGGTGTTGCGCCTGGTATTGCTATCGTGCACCTTTGCATAACCAGCCGCGAGGACCTTGTGGGAGACGTTGGTGTCCGGCTTTCCAGGTGCTTCGGGGGGTAAAAAGACGTGAGCGAATACGCGAGGGTTGCCGCCCGTGACGGGAACGGTGTACTCCTGCCTCCAACGGATCTCCCTGCCGACGAGGAGTTGACGCAGATATTCCCTGGAAGCGAATGCCTGAGGCTCATCCTCCCTCTCTCGACTGCCCATTCGAGGAGCTGCTATGCCAGCAATGTGGATTAGCGACTCGCTGCTCGGTACAGCTACACCTACGCCCTTCGGCCGCACCACCACAGTGTCACCGCTCAGCACCGAGCGCACCACCCCACCTTGGAGCGGGTTGGCAGAGGTACCGGCAGCGCCTGCTGCTGCTGCTGCTGATGCTGGCGAGGATGCCGTTGCGGTTGCCGTTGCTGCAGAGGTGGCCATGTTGGTGCTGCGAGGGGTGTGAGCTGATTGATCGAAGCGATTTGCGGGGCTTGTATGCGCACTGAAATGATCGACCGAGGTTCAGTGTATGCTGCTGCTGCTGCTGATTGTGTGATGGTATGTGTGAACATGCGTGACTGAGAGCTGCCCTCCTCACTCGAGTTGGACGGATGCATGTGTGTCTGCCTGCCTGCCTGCTGCTGCTCCTTCTCCATCTCGCCTGCATGGTGAGCGTGCATGGCTCATCACACTCGTCTTCTGACTGTGACTCTTCCCGGTCGCATGGAATCGCCGAAGGCGTGCGCGTGTGTGCGTGCCACCTTCCCAGCACTTTCTTCTCGTCCACTCGCATGTCTGCGCCTCCGCCAGTGCTGCGCGAGCCAGCAAAGCGCCCAGCACAACATCAGGCACGCTGCATCGTGCATTGGTCACGCGATCATGCAGTCATCCATGTTATGCGGGCCTGCGCGGCGGGTGGTCACGTGAGCCGTTCACGTCCACGGTCGCGATCTCGATTCCGCGCGCTCCATCTCCAACACTTGGACCACGGCGGCGCGCGAGAACATCGGTTGTCCCAGCTTACAGCATCCATCCGTCCAGTCTTTTGGGCTCTTGTACTCCTTCTACATCGTGCACACAGCGCCAAGGCATCTCACTCGCCGGCTCGCTCGCCTCATCGCTCCATTGGCGGACTTTCTAACAGCCTCACCGCCGACCCTGTGCCCTGGCTGCTCGCTGCTCCACCTCGCCACGCGCCATCCCCACATCTCAGCATGCCTCGAGCAGAAGCAGGCAGCATCAAAGCCGTATCGAACAGCATCAAAGCCAAAGGACTGACCAAGCTACGTTTCTACTGTCAAATCTGCTCCAAAGCTTGCAGAGATGAGAATGGCTACAAGAATCACATCGAGAGCGAGAGCCATCTGAGACAGATTGCGGCGATTGGAGGAGGAAGCAATGCGGCAAAGACCATCGATCGATTCTCGGATCAATTTCAAAAGGAGTTTGTGGCGCTGCTCAGTAGGAGGTGAGTGTGGTGCGCGGTTCGGCGCGTGGGCCGTGTCGCGTTGGAACGTGGAGAGAGATCGACATCCTTGGCTGACAGCGCTACACCTTCACTCGTGCTCCGAATGTATGCGCTTGAATTTCAGGTTCGGCACGCGCAGAGTTCGAGCGAATCAAGTGTATCAGGAGTACATTCAAGAGCGACACCATCTTCACATGAACGCGACGCAGTGGCAATCTTTGTCGCAGTTTGTAAAGCATCTGGGAAGGGAAGGCATTGTGAGAGCGGAAGAAAACGAGAAGGGTTGGTGGATAGAGTGGGTGGATAATTCGCCGGCTGCGTTGGCTAGACAGGATGCCCTGCTGAAAATGAACAGGGCCAAGGTGGATGAGGAGACGAGGGAGAGGAAATTTTTAAAGGAGCAAATCGAGAGGGCTAAAGCGGGTGGTGGAGGTGGAGAAGAGGCGAAAGATGCGGAGCAGAAGGAACAGCGACCCGAAATCGGCAGACTGGAGCTGCAAAGAGATGGAAATGCTCCCATCAAGATTGGCATCGGTCTGAAAGCCAAGGTGGCGGAAGGAGAGGCAGACCGTAAGCCCGATGCACCGAGCGCTAACCACCCGGTCGACAATGGCTCTAGTTCCAATGCGCCAGCAGGCACATCGACCAGCTCCACGTCGGCTGCCAAGCCATTCAAGCTAGGCCTCATTTCCAACCCTCTCAAGAATGGCGGCGGCGGCGCAAGCAGTCGATCAAACGTTTTCAAGAGCGCGAGCACGAGCGGGGCGACTGTGACTGCGCAGACGAAGGGATCGGGACATGCGAGACCCGCGCTGACTGCTGCGGAGAGGATCATGGCTGAGGAGGAGGAGAGAAAGAGGAAGAAACAGGGCATGGGACCTCAACCTTCTGCCAAGAGGATGAGAATGTGAAAAAGAGAGAGCGAAAGGGGCGAGAGGTGGGGGATCGCGGGTGCGGTGCGGTGCGGTGCGATGGATGAGCTACTGATTTGGTGTGTGCGCATGCGGGCCCTTCTACATGTGTTTGGATTCCGATCGTCGAGCCGATGCGTCCTGCTCCTTTTCTCCCTCTCCCTCTCCCTCTCCCTCTCCCTCTCTCTCTCTCCCTCTCTCCCTCTCTCTCTCTCTCTCTCTCTCTCTCTCTCTCTCTCTCTCTCTCTATCCCTGCATTTATATGCATCCACTCATGTATTTGTACATTCGCCGTCCCACCTGAATCAGGGATTTGCGCTCCAATTTAATTCTGATTGCTGCTGTTGTACCTGCTCGGGTGAGGATCGTGGGTGAGGGGGACGTGCAATCACGTGGATTCGGCGAGCCAATCAATCATGCATGCATGCATACTGGCCGGCGGTCCGTGGAGATGGCGGCCGGCCTACCAAACTGCATATGTGAAGCGAGGTCTTCGCCACACGCCTGCCTGCCTGGCTGCCCAGTGCCTGCTGGTGCTGCGTTCGTTGCCTGACTCTCTCCACTTTGTGACTCTTCTGACTTTGTGCGGGGGAAGGCGCTGCATCCGAGTCACTCACCTTTCACCTTTCGCCTCACCGTCCGTCACCTTTACGATGCTTGACGCTGCCATCGTGACTGCGCGGCCAGAGCTGATGGAGATGCAACTCTTTTGAACATACCATCTACTCGCGCATCGCACGAGCAGCAAATTTCAAGGACAGGACACGACAGGACATGACATGACAGGACGGGACATCGAAGGGGAGCGGAAGCGGTGTCACTGAACCATATTTACCTACCCCATTCGAATCAGAGCCCTACTCATCAGGCTCCAGCTCCAGCCTCGCATCGGGGTCTTAAGCCACGCATTCGCTCCATACTGCTCTTGCTCGGCGGGCAGCACGACGTACACCCTAAGAAAATGTCGACGTTTTGGAAACCTGGAACAGCTCAGCCTGGTAGGTTTTGCTGGAGGGAGCGGATGGGGGATTACATTGCGCTGCCAATGGGTGGAAGGCTGGGAGGGATGTGGATCTGGACCCCATTCAAAGGCTGACGTTCCCCTCCCTCCTTGCGTCTCCCCATCCTTCTCATCGTGCAGGTTCATCAGCCGATCGTATCGGCGCTTCTTCCGAAGAAGCAGAATCGGCCTTTCAACACGCGTCTGCCATCAACAGCAGCAGCAGGAGTCTGCAAGAGGAGAGGAAAGCGTTGCCTATTTACGAACAGAAGGAGAGGATCTTGTATGCTGTGCAGAGGTATGGTGTTGTCGTCATTGTGGGACAGACGGGATGCGGCAAGACTACGCGTGAGTGCAGGTGTGTGTGTATGCGTGCGCTCTGTCGAGGCAAGCTGCTACGCTACGCGCTCACTCTTCCACCCACACACACGCCCACGCAGAGATCCCTCAATATCTGCTGGAAGCAGGTTGGGCACCCGCTCATCGCGCACAAAGCATCGTCTGCACTCAACCGCGTCGTCTGAGCTGCCTCTCCATCTCCATGCGCGTATCGGCCGAACAAGGGTGCAGCCTAGGTTCGCAAGTGGGCTACGCTGTGCCGTTCGAGAGGCACTACGATGCTCGCACGACGCGCATCAAGTATGCGACGCATGGCACGCTCTTCAGGGAACTGATGAGCGATCCGCTCTTGAGCGCGTACAGCGTCGTCATGATCGATGAGGCGCACGAGCGAAACGCTTTCAGCGATTTGCTGCTCATTCTACTCAAAAAGTGCGTCTGTGCAAGGGGAGCTGCGGTCACGCTTGAGCCCCTCTCTCAACTCACCCACCCCCTACACGCGCACTCGCATCGCTCAGAATACGTCGCAAAAGACCTTCGCTACGTATCATTGTCTCTTCAGCCACCATAGACGCCCAAGCGTTTCTCAACTTTTTCCTCGACAAGCCGTACGTTGGCCAAGAGCGGCAGGCGGGTGGGGCGCAAGCAGCAGCAGCAGCAGGGGCAGCGGCGAAGACCACAGCGGCAACGACGACGACTCAAAGGAGCAACAACGAAGAGGTCGAGGATGGCATCATTCTCTCTTTGCAAGGCCGCACATTTCCAGTAGAGATTGCGTATGCGCAAGAGGCGGTGGAGGATTACGTAAAGGCGAGCGTGGAGGCTGTGTGGCAATTGCACCTCGCTGTGAGTGTTTTCCCATTCGCCATGGCGTGTCCGTCATTTCGCACTTCGCCTTCCAGCGGTCTGGCTCATCTCTTCCGCCCCCCCCCCCCCCCCCTCCTTCACATTCATGCGTTGTGCACGGATCGCGACGATGGGCGATTTTAATGTTGCGAATAGGAAGCGAGAGGAGATATCCTCGTATTCCTCACCGGCAAAGAAGAGATCGATGCGTGCATGCAAGCGCTAGCAGACAGGCAAATTTCGTGAGTGCTTCGGCAGCAGGGAAGGGCGCAGAGGCATCTCATCTCTAGCCCCTGCGCATCGTGGCCCTGCTTGCTTGCTTGCTTGCTCTCTGCCCTCGTAATGCACAATGCTTGCTGACGGCACTCCTGCGCGGGCTCCCTCTGACGCGACTCAAGCTTGCCGCAGGGATCTTTGCCGCTGCACCTCCTTCCCGTGCACGCTGGTCTGAGCGCGCAAGAACAAATGGCCCTGTTCGATCCGACGCCGCGAGGAGGCAGGAGATGCTTGGTGGCTACCAATATTGCCGAAGCTAGCGTCACGCTGCCCGGCATAAGATACGTCGTGGATTGTGGTCTGGTCAAGGTGCGTAGCGAAGAGCGCACGAGCATGATTGCGCATCGCGCAATCATACCTCGAGGCCTTGTTCAGCAAGGGCGCAATGGGGGGGCTGACATAGCGAAAGCAACGGCCATCCCCTGCGCCTGTATGACCCAGATGCGCCTATTCGATCCGGAAAGTGGAACGGAAAGTCTATGCATCCTTCCCATCTCTCAAGCCTCGGCCGCTCAAAGATCAGGTCGAGCCGGACGGACATCTGCGGGCAAAGCTCTACGTCTATATACGCGCTCCACCTTTCGCTCCTTGGCGCCGCACACCTCTCCCGAACTATCGCGCAGCGATTTGACGAGCGTGGTGCTGCAGCTGAAGAGTTTGGGGGTGGATGATCTGGTCAGGAAGTTCGAGTGGATGTGGCCTGCTCCGAGCACGAGATTGTTGAGCTGCGCGCTGCAGAGGTGCGCTGTGCTGGGCGCGATGGATGCGTGGGCCAGGCTGACGCCGGATGGGCAGAAAATGGCCGAATTGCCGCTCGATCCCATCATGGGCAAATTGGTGCGTTCGTCGGTCGTCGTCGTCGTCGTCGTCGGGGCTTCCTTTTTCCTAGTTCGGATCTTTTGGCCCCCGCCATGGGTGTCGGAAGTCGATATCTTTCTCCTTGCGCTTCGGCCCGCTGACCCTGATCACGCTCGCCCTCGCCCTCGCCCTCGCGGGCGCTCGCCCTTGCACAGCTACTTCAATCTATCCGATTCCAGTGCTCAAAGGAAATCTTGAGCGTCATAGCTATGCTCAGCGTTTCCTCTCCCTTTATCATTCCAGACGAGAAGCGCAACGATGCAGCAGCCTACACATCCGCCCTGCTCTCTCGGGACAAGTTTACAGCAGAAGAAGGCGATCATCTGAGCCTCTTGAACGTCTACGACGCATTCGTCGATCCGCAAGTGGGCGCTTCGTCCAGAGGCTTTTGCAAGAGGAACAAGTTGGCTTTTGCCGCGTTGGCCAGGGCCGTCAGTATACGGCAGCAGTTGCAGGGCTGGATGAAGCGCTTGGGATGGGAAAGGGAGGCGAGGATGGGTTGCGAGGGGGATGAAGGGAGACTGAGAAGGTGCTTGGTCAGCGCCTTGTTCGAGAATGCGGCGAGGAGGATGGAGGATGGGGGGTATAGGAGCATAAGGGCCGGTCAGGTGAGTTGCCCTCCTCTTTTTTTTTTTTTTTTTCTCTCTCTCCCTGTGGTCCTCCCGTCTCCCCCTTGCTACTTGCCAATCTCGCCCCCACCCCTCACGTCATCCGGACTCTCTGACTTTTTGTTTTTTTTTTTTTCGTTTGTTGGCGCCCCTTGCAAGACTCTACACATACATCCATCTTCCGTCCTGTTCGATCGGATACCCAAATCCAAATACGTCATCTTTCAAGAGGTGGTGCAGACGAACAAGAGGTACATGCGCGACGTGACGGTCGTAGAAGAGGTGAGCGAGAAGGAAGGCGGGCGGGCGGTCCTTCTTCAGTCTTTCGCACACATCGCCCACTGCGCAAGAACAAAAATGAAAGCCATGCAGGATTCCGTTCGATGCTCAAACCCCCCCTCCCTTTTTTTCT